ATGGTTGTAAATAAAACATAGCATGAGGTCAGTGGTGTATATTGGCTGAAGAGTCAGGGGGGACAGGGCAGCAGAGTGGGGCACCAAGCCCTGTCCCAGGGATGCCAGGGGGGGTGGTAGCCGCACCCCCTGCCCTTCCCTGGAAAATATGCCACTGCATGAGGTTGTTAAACATGAGGGCAATTGACCTTCAGATGCCTCTGTAACTAATTTTTAATGCACCCATTATATTTTGCATGAAATATTAGCTATGTAAAGTAATTTGTCAAAAGTTTGATTTCATACCCCCCCAGCTTTATATCCTAGTTGGAAACAGCTATAATTTCTAGATTGACCCCAGTTGGAAATTCAGACTCATTCCAACAGGGTAGCAGCTGGAAAGTAAAGTCAGATCCAGATTGTTCCTAATTGCAATACACTGGTGGAATGAGAATGTTTTTGCAGCTGAATTTCAACTGTAAATTCAGTTGTATTCCAACTGAAGGGTCCTCTGCATAAAATTCTAACAGTAAATTTCCAACTGTAAAACAACCTGTAATCTACCTTCTTTCAGCTCTTTGCCATCTGGAAATGGTCAGAATATACAGCTTCTATCCAGTTGGAAAATCCCAGTCAGGGTTTCAAACAGGGTCCTACCTTCTCTAGGAAGCGTAAGTGTATTGCGGGTGAAAAAAGTGTGGGAGGAGGGGGGGGCACAAGAACTCTGGGACACTGTTATCATGCATTTCATACATATTTTTCATTATATTAATGCATTTTTATTGTTAAGTGGGGGGTACATGCCGTGCCATGCCTTCATTGAACAATTCTTTCATTGGATTGTTTCAGGAAGAAATAGGTTTTTTCCCATCTATCTTGTGAGTTGTCAGTCAAGATGAAGAAGACACTCCTATATGAATAAGCTAAGTTTTGTCATGAAATAGCATTACTGATAAAAAATACTTTTGAAGGTTCAAGTCTATAATATTGAAATTTTTACCTTCATCTACAAGGGTGCATATGTTGAACACCATGAAACATGAGTTCTTGGAGTAATTGACTGTGGTCTATGAACAGTTAAAAATGTGTTGATTGAAGAAAAGTAAGTAGTGACTTGCATATGAATGATCATACACTATTTGATGGATTATGGACCCTTTTTGCATACAGGAATGTTTCAGGTAATCTCACCATACATAGATATGACATGGCATATATGGACAGTATATGATGCATTTGTATGAGCTAATATATGAAAATATATGGGGCCATATATTCTGATATGATTTTATATGACTTGTGTCAAACCCAATACATATTTCATATATGTTCATATATGAATTGCAATATATGGTCATATATTTATATATATGTTGGACTGGTTTAATATATGGTCATTTCATATGGTCTTATATGAAATTCTCATGTGGGATTGTTCAGTGAAGGCACAGCACGGCATGTGCCCCCCACTATGTGTGTTGTGTTTTATCCATTTAGCCGTGTTCGACTCTTGGTGATCCAATGGATGAGGTCTTGCCAGCATTTTCTATCCATGGCCAGCTCCTTCAGTTCTTGCATCCCCAGTTGTGTGTCTTCCATGATAGTGTCCATCGATCGTGTTCTCTGTCGTCCTCTCCTTTTTCCTTCTGTTTTACCAAGCATCAATGTCTTTTCTAATGACTCTTGTCTTCTCATTGTATGACCAAAATATTTTGGCCTTGATTTTGTTATTGATGCCTCCAGAGAGCAGTTTGGCTTCACTTCGTCCAATATTGATATGTTTGTTCTTGCAGTCCATGGCATGTTCAGCAATCTTCTCCAGCGCCACAATTCAAAAGCATCAATCTTTTTCCTTTCAGCTTTTCTGATTGTCCAGCTTTCACTGCCATATGTTGTAATTGGAAAAACCATGGCTCTGACAATTCATACTTTTGTCGACAGTGTGATATGTCTGCATCTTATCAATTTATCCAGATTCGTCATGGCTTTTCTTCCAAGGAGCAGGTGTCTCCTTATTTTACAGCTGCAATCACCATCCATGTGGACAATCGACCCCAAGAATATAAAATCTTTAATAACTTCTTCCTCATCTATCTTCACTTGAGTGATACAGCCAGTTACAGCCAGTGATACAGACATTATCTTGGTCTTTTTAAGGTTGAGCAATAAGCCAGCTTTTGCACTTTCCTTTTAACCTTCATCAGAAGCTTCTTCAAATCTTCCTCATTTTCTGACATCAAGGTGGTGTCATCAGCATATCTAAGGTTGTTGATGTTCCTCCTGCTGATTTTGATGCCTGCTTCTGTTTCTTCCAGTCCAGCATTGTGCACGATTTGCTCTGCATACAAGTGGAATAAATAAGGCGATGATACGTAGCCCTGGTGTACTCCTTTTCCTATTTTGAATCATTCGGTTTCTCTAAAATCAGTTCTGACTGTCGCCTCTTGGTCAACATATAGGTTTTTTAGCAGGCAGATAAGATGGCTTGGGATGCTCATGTTGTTTAGAGTTATCCAAAGTTTCTTGTGATCAACACAATCAAAAGCCTTGGTATAGCCAATGAAGCACAAGTAAATGTCTTTTTGAAATTCCCTTGCTTTTTCCATTACCCAAGTGAATGTTAGCAATTTGATCTCTTGTTCCTCTGTGTCTTCTGAATCCCACTTGAACATCTTGAACATCATGTTCCATGAATTGCTGGAGTTTTGCCTGTATAATCTTCAGCATTATCTTGCTGGCATGTTCAGTAGTTTGAGAATTCTTTAGCATTTCCCTTCTTTGGTATTGGAATATTAACTGATCTTTTCCAATCTGTAAGCCATTGCTGTGTCTTCCATATCTGCTAACACACTGCAGACAACACTTTAACTGCATCATCCTGCAAGATCTTGAGTAGCTCTGCTGGTATTCCATTGACTCCTGCTGCTTTACTTTTGGCAATGCTTTCTAGGGACCATCGTACTTCACTTTCCAAAATATCTGGTTCTAGCTCTGACACTATTTTATCAAAGGTATCATTGATTTTTGTAAAGTTCTTCTGTATATTCCTTCCATTGCTTCTTCATTCCTTCTTCATCAGTCAGGTCTCTACCTTCTTTATCCTTAACTGTACCCATTTTTTCCCCCCACTACAACAAAAAATGCATTAATATGAAGGAAAAGACACATGAAATGCATGATAACAGTGTCCCAGAGATCCCATGCCCCCCCCACGCTTTTTTCATTCATGATATGCTTATGCTACCTAAGGAGGGTAGGGTCCGGTTTGATATCCCAACTGGAAGTTTTTCAACTGGACAGAAGCTGTATATTCATACCACATTTTCAGCTGGCAAAGAGCTGAAAAATGGTAGATACAGGTTGTTTTACGACTGGAAGTTTAGCATTAGAATTTTACCCAGAAGACCCTCCAGTTGGAATACAGCTGAATTTACAGTTGAAATTCAGCTGCTTCTGTAGATGGACCTCCAGAAAGAATAGCCAACAAAAACATTCTCATTCCACCAGTGTGTTGGAATTGGAACAATCTGGGTCTGACTTTACTTTCCAGCTGCTACCCTTCTGGAAAGTATGGGAAAGTAATGGGTCCGAATTTCCAACTGGGGTCCAACTGGAAATTATAACTGTTTCCAACTAGGATTTTAAGATCAAACTTTTTGGCAAATTACTTTAAAGGTCATAGCTAATATTTCATGTAAAATAAAATGGGTGCATTAAAAATTAGTTACAGGTCTGAAGGTCAATTGCTCTCATGTGTAACAACCTCATGCAGTGGCGTATTTTCCAGGGAAGTGCAGCTGCCCCCCTTGGCATCCCAGGGATGGGGCTTGGTGCCCCCACTCTAATGCCCTGTCTCCCCTGACTTCCATGTATAGCAGACCCCAGCTGTAAATTTGGACCCATTCCTACAGCTTAGCAGCTGGAAAGTAAAGTCAGATCCAGATTGGTTCCTAATTGCAATACCACTGGTGGAATGATACTTTTTTGCTGGATATTCTTGCTGGAGCTTGTCCATCTACAGAAACAGCTTAAATTCAACTGCCAATTTTACTGCCAGATACAAAGCTGCAAATTGTTGATTCAGTCACCTTAATTAATTTTAAGATGCTGGTTCAAATGCTGGTTTTTTGCCATGAGCAATTGTATGTATTGTATAATTGTGTTTTTTCTTCTTAGCTAACATGTTATTGATGTGATTTTTGTTGCTTGTGTATGTGTGCATGCATGTGCAAGTGAGTGTCCACACTTTGGTTGCCTGGCATTACAATAATTATGAAAATACTGACCTGATAACTCAAAATCAGCATGCAGATAGAAATGGATAAGATACTGGCTGAGTTCATTTTGTTGTGAATTTGCACAAAAAATGGCATTTTATGGCAAATTTAGGATTTGAAATTGGTTACAATGGGGAAAGCATGAGTATCTATCAACCCTTAAGGCTCTGGACCACATTGTGCACATATGACCCAGGCCTTAGGCTCAGTGCCATGTCAGCAACCAGAGCTGTCATTTCTCTATCAGAATTCATTGCAAATGGGTCCAACCATACACAATCCTCTATCCTGTCATTTCATGGACCCAGTTTATGTCTTTACCACATCTAATAGAGAAATGGAGTTTGTAATGGTTGAGGACTGGAAAGAGAAGGTATTTTGTTCAATTAGGTGATAAAATGAGGGTCTCCTGCACTGAAAGGAGGCCCACTACTGGACTGGGTTTTCCTAGCTTGTTTGAAGTGAGACTATCATCAAAGTTCTGTCTTTCTAATTTTTCAAGACATGGGTCTTTCAATTACTTTTGGAAGAATAGAGCTCACACTCAAAATGTTTACAATATACTAGATATAAGACAGTTTGGGAAATAGTGAAAGCAACTCCTATTATAAATATATATTGCCAAAAAAAAAGTAACAGAAGTAATGAAAAGAGTTACTTTTCTCCATTGTATGAATTGAGATGGTATGACTTATATGAAGTTTGCAGTGGTACAAGGATTAATAATGAATGTTATTGAGACAGGTGGTCACCTTATGGTATCGTGCTCCAGAGGTGCTTCTTGGCTGTAAGCAGTATGCATGCCCTGTTGATGTTTGGGCCATTGGCTGCATCTTTGCAGAGATGTGGACTAAGAAACCACTCTTCCATGGAGACTCAGAAATTGACCAGCTTTTCCGTATTTTCAGGTTCTTTGCATTTTCTTGAAGATTCTCTCATATCAATAGGTTCACAATATATTGGGTGTTGCAAAAAAATTCCTGTTTGAGACTTTATAAACCTACTGTAGAAATGCTACATTTGTCAATTTCTTGGTATCATACAGATAATGCTCTAAACTTTTGTTTTATGAAAGTAGTAGTAGGTCATTTGAGTAAAGAGCAACAGTTATTTAAATGTAAAAAAATTCAGCTTTTCCACATATTGGGAGGCAGTGGGTACAGCAGTGATATGTCATATTTGTTGCCAAAAAGTCTGCTTCTTATGGCTGCTTTCCTATTGCAATGTATCTGACTTTGCAGTGGCATCATGTCATATATCTTATATCTTATGAAGGAAATGTCACTGTATAAAAGGGACATTTTCATAAAGGGCTTGGGGAGGAGGACTCCATAGAGCAAAGTCCACAATTAGATATGTAATGCATTATTCCTTCTCCAGTCCTTATACTCTAAACACACCATCAAATTCAGACTTTGCCTCTTCACCTGAGGTGTGCAGTTAATAAAGACTATTATGATGAAAAACATCCTTCTTGGTGTCAAATGAGAAAATTCTTTTGAGTAGTCCCAAGACTGCATACACTTCAAGTGTAAAAAATATTACATTATGACTGTTGGTAATTATCTAGGTGACCTGGGTACTAGAAACTTTCAAGAAGAAAATTTATTTCTGTACCGAGTGTGGTAGAAAAGTTATGAACCAAGGATTTCCACAGTCACTTTTATAAGGCATCAAACAGGATGTTTTTTTTTTTGCACCACTCAATATAAAACTGGTCCTGTAGGACATTGGCAACCCCAACAGAAGATATATGGCCTGGAGTGAAGAATCTTCCTGACTACAAGGCAACATTTCCACAATGGACACAGAGGAATCTGGCTGAGGCCACGAAGAACCTTATGCCTGAGTCAGCTTTTGATCTACTGGAAGTAAGTCTGTGAAATTTACAGTCTCAACAACTGTTCCTGCAGTGGTTAAAAAATTTTTTTTTTTTTCCTAAATGAAGAAGACATTGATCTACAACCCAGCCAAGAGGATTACTGCCAAGGATATGTTGGAGCATGAATATTTCAAAGGAATTGATCCCTCTTCCCGTTCTGCTCCAACCTGCTAATACCCTGTGGTTCTGATCAAAGATATTTGATATCTTTGAGAAAGTTTTTCAAGTTCCAGCAATCAATGATTTTCAGTTTCAAGAGTCAGTGATCTTTTTATTCAACTTGTCTTACCCAATGTTCTAAGCTTTCCTATCAAGGATAAATAAAATTCCCTGGTAAAGATTCTATGATAGTTTATTTCCTCTTTCCTATCAGGCTGAACCAAATGGTGTTTATTTTCTATACAGAGAAAAGCCTCCTAGTATGTACATGCAATGGATGAAGAAAAAGAGAGAAATACATACAGGAGTTGAGACAATCTGTTAGGGAAGTTCATTGGAAAATAAATCTCTCAGATCACATTCGGAAAGAATTGTTTTGTACATGCAGAAGAGAATTACAAGAAATGTGAGTGGGGAACAGGAAGAGGGAATTCTTTCATCCTGCTATGACCTCTCCACTATCACAGCAAAGAATTACATTTCCAGCTCTTTTTGTCCTGAAAGACAAACTGTTGTGTACAAAAGGTTTTCTCCCATGGTCTTAATGAGAGGTCATGTTTTATAGTTAATGCTGCTGAGAAGACTTACCAAGGAGCTTCAGTGGATAAAATGAAAAAAAAAAGAACCACTGAAGATACTACTGAGGGCTAATTCAGCATTCATTCAAGAAAAAAAGGTCCATGTTGCACAGGAAAAAAAGGAGTTCAATCTTTCTCCATCGTTGAACATTACAAACAGTATTAACTGACTGAGAGTCAAACAGATCTTCATATTTTGGACTGTATGCCACACCTGCTGCCAAAAGCCAGCCCGGTATCACACGGGACAACACAGCTCATGACAATGACTTCTTAGCTGCCTGGATTCTACCACATATTGGAACATAAACAAAGAGATGCAGGGAGAAATGCCAATTACACACTTGAGGAATCACAAGCAATCACAGGGAAACCCTTCCTCTTTTCTCTCTCTCACCTCCTCATTGAGCTGTTCATGTTCAATTGTGGCATGAGCCCATATCCATATGAAGCATACATATTCTGTCCCCTTGAAGACTGATGATGCAAGTTTGGATCTTGATACTGTGCTGCCTGTGGATGCATGTTGATCATGCTTGGATGCACATTGATCATCTGTGCCTGTGGATTCATGTTCATGAAGCTTGTGTAACCATGATTCAATGACATTGGATTCTGCTGGGCATGTCCCATGCGATAGCCATTAAATGCCTGCTGATGATTGAAGGCCATAAGATTAGGATTGATGGTGACATTAGGTGGGCGTTGAATGCACTGAGATCGTCCATGAGGGCTGTAAGTTTGCTTGTAGTAATTTGTAAGGGCTGTGGGATTGGCTGCAATGTGGGGGGCTCGGTGATGAGGAGGTATCATAGGAGGAGGGGTCATATTATGATGGATTGGGGGTGGTGTTAGATTTGGAGGTGGGGTCATGTTTTGGTGATGGTGATGATGATGAGGCATTCCTGAAGCTCCCATTTCCATAATCCCATTGGCCAGTTGTTGCAACTTGGCCAAGCTACATGAAGATCCTGAATGTGTAGTGGTTGCAGGTGTAGGTACATGCCGTGAAGATTGCTGAGGTGCAACTGACACAGCATGCTGTGTCTGAGGTGTATTAGTATGGTGAACACCTTGCAGCTGTGTGGTTCCACTGCCTAGATGTGGGGATGGATTTGGGCTCTGATGCGGAGTATGACTGCTGTAATATGACTGTTGCTGAGATTGTTGCTGCTGAGGCTGTTGAGATGAGATGCGGGAGTTGCCACTTGGACTATGACTTGGCTGCTTACTGCTGCCTGGGCTATGCATCATATATGGTGATGAAGGAGATGTGTTCATGTATGGACTAGTTGCATTCAGGTGACTTGGAATATATGGAGACTGCTGTTGATTGTTAGTGGCAGGTGTATTGGTCATGCTGTACTGAGGTGATGGCTGCATCTGCATCATATGTTGTTGCATAGGTGAGTGTTGGGGGGATGGTTGGGGTGGCAAGGGAGCTGGCTGTGGCTGTTGCTGTGATTGTGGGGCAACTGATGGCTGGATCTGGGCACAGTCACTGTAATTTGAAGGTGTTGCTGGTTCCACTGAATGCTGCTGAGCCAGCTCATTGCTGGAAATTGATCTTGGAGATTCTAAACCCAACTGGGCCACATCCAACTCGTGATGAGTGCCAGTATAACCATGAACCGAGTGAACTGAGTTAGTGGTGGAGTCTGGAGTGTACACACCCATACTAGACACCTCATGATACTGTGTTGGAGATGTGGACATAGTCTTATTGGAGTTCACTGGGTATGATGTCTGATGCTCCATGGGTTGACCACCCTGTGAGTATCCATACTGTTGCTGCTGCTGATGTCTTGGCTTGGAAGGGGAATGAGAAGGTGTATGGACATTTGGGATTCGGGGTTGAGATGATCCCAGCTGGGATTCCATGTGGTTTTCAGGTACAGATATCTCTCGACTCTGTTCTGAAGAAGCCTTGGGTTCCTCACATCTTTTTTCAGGAACAAGGGATTGAGGCTGCAATTGGGTTATCATAGCTGCAGGAGGATGAGATTCAGATATTTTCATCTGATGTTCAGCCTTTTCCTTAGTTGGATCTTGTCTGTCTGAAATGCCATCAGTCAAATCTGGGCAAGAGCGATAGGCAGGAGTTTCAGGTATATCATTCACAATCATAGATTCACTTGACTTCACTTCATCCTTGAGTACTGGATCCTGCACTGGTGTTATACAAGTACTAGATGCATTATCAGGCCTTAGCTGTGCATCCTGAGGCTCATCGTGCTCCTGCTGGTCATTCTGATAGGCAGTAGGAGAACTTGAGGTCTGACCAGGAGATGAGGATTGATTTGATTCTGGCTGAAAGCCAGAATAATTCTTGCCTTCCATTTCCTTTTCTTTTAATGTTTCTTCCTTATTTTCTGACTCCACTGACTTTTGGCTATTCTCTTCATTCTTGGGAGAGTCCACTGGGGACTGATCATGAGCAGTGTCTCTTTCAACTTGAAGCCAAGCTTGCATATCACACACCTCAGCATTCCTATCAACTGAACTATCACCAGGAGTCCTATCATGGACTGTTGCATTTACAAATTTTTCAGCTTTCATTTTCTTCCATGTCTCTTGCCCTGCATCCTTATCTTCTGATTGAGATTCCTGCTGATGAAAAAAAAAAGGTACATGCACAATACACATTGGGCCATGAATTGACACCATTACTAGGAAGATTCCTTACCATTTCCTCAACTGTATCATCTTGGCTGTCTTCATCTTTGAGCATCTCATGTTCACTCACTGCCTCCTTCATGGGCAAAAGTTCTTTTATCCCATGCTCAGCTTGATGATCCTCATCAGACTCAGCAGTATGACCCACTTCCACTGCTAGATGAGATGTCTGACTTTCACAAGGTGAGGCTGTTGCAACTTCATGGTGCACTATGCTAAGCTCTTGCTTTGATTCAGATAGTGATGCCTGTTCTTCATGGTCAATAGTCTCATTTACGATCTCTGGCTCTTCCATCTCTTCTAGTTCCTGCGGTCATGATCACATCATATTATTTTAAACTAGATTAGAGGATATGAAATTAGCTTAGAGACAAAAGCATAAGAGCACAGGAAGAAGATACAAAATAGCAGGGAACAAACCTCATGGGGAGACACATGTTTATGAGGTTTCCTGGGAACACCTTTAGGCCAACCACGTTTCTTCTTTGGTGGCATAGGTATGGAGGGGGGGGGAGGAGAAGGGGGAATGGGAATGAGTTTTTCCTGCATCTCTCCTTCATCATGAGATGGGCTGAGTCGAGGGGGGGATGATGGAACTCCTGCATCCACTTCTGCTGCTGCTGCTGCTGGGTGCTTTTCAACTTCTGGCTCCAGCTGGGGCATCGATGAGTCATCAAAGCTGTCATGTCTGCAGCAATCAATCAGTTTCTCCAGCATCAGTCAACTCATTCAAAAACAGGTTGAATGAAAAATGGCAGTACATCAAAACCCCATAATAGAAAAATCAGATACATTGGAATTCTGGTTACAGCAATTTATTTTTTTAATCATCCCTGCATAGTACTCCAGTGACTGATCACCATCTATCAATCATGAGTCAGGTTTTAATGCTCAGGAGGGAGTGAAATTTCTACTCATCGTTCCCCAATTGTCATGGACAGGGCATAGACCAACCAGCCCCAGGAATGAAAATGGCTATTGCAGCAAATTAGATTTCAGGAAAAGGAAACTTGAAAGGAGAGGAGATAAATACCTTTCATTCTAAACCTCACTTTCAGATAGGGTAAAATACCCAATGATGGGTCTGTTAAGAGTGTGTACTCTGTGATGGGCCACAGCACAGGAAAATTCCAAAAATTAGTCATTTGTAGCATGAACACCTTTGAAGTGTGTATATGCTTGCATGTTGCTAGCCTATGTCACTACAGGGGTGTGCATGCTATGGAAGCTTAGCTGTGTCAATTTTTTTGTGCTGTGGTCCATCACTGGGTATTTTACCCTAAATATTGCTAGCTTCATTAAAAAATGCTCCTTCTATATTGAGTACTAAATATTGGGGAACAAATCATAAGACTGTCAGAAGAAATTCAATGTCATTACTTCTCTACTTACAAAAAACAGGATTAATTGAAAATTCATCATGAACAAATATTGCAGAATGATGCACTCTTCACCTGCTTGCAGTGAAAATTTTCTTTAAACTGCAACTTTCCTGAGTTAACCACTTCAGGTTGTTGATGGGAACTAGATACTTTAGAAAGCATATGCACTATGTCCCAACAAATTTAGGAACCTTTTTCAATTTTAAGCCACTTGTAATTGGTTCATGCTGTCACTGTTGTGCACCTTTGTGGGATGACTAATGGATCAAATGAGCACGTGCATGCAAAGAACTGTACGGATGCATTAGTCCTAATTCAGTATTGTGCTTCAAACAGGATAGCTGACATGACACACACAATCAAGATAACTGCATTAATCTTTCCTGTTTGACACTTGGATAAGGTGCTCAAAGTGCCTGCCATGTCATCCTGTGAACAGGCATGTGACATTGATCTAAACCCTAACGGCACAGTTTGCATTCTCCTGCGATGGAGAAATAGAGAGTTCCCTCTCTGGCTGGCTGTGCTTGTGCTAAGTGTGGCCGGTGGCAATGGTTTGCTGCAACCTCACTTAAAATAAGCTGCTGCATCTCAGAAATGAATCAATGGATTTTCATACAACTTTGCATGCATATGCTCATTTGATGTCTTAGTCAACCCTCAAAAACATATAGCGATAGCCTGAACCCATTACAAGAAGCTACAAATTGAAAAAGGTTCCAACAATTTTTGGGACAATGAAGAAGGTCCACAATTGAAGAAAAACTGATAAGGATGATAAGCAGCGAAGACACCAATGAGTAGAAGTTCCTCCCCCCTTAACTTACCTCCTACAAATCCAAGTTTGGAGGAGATAAGAAAAGCATAAAAGAAGTCATCCCAACATAGCAGCAGTAGCTGATAACCAAAGAGCAGTTCTAGTTCATGTTACGATTAATCTGCAACAGTTGGCATAAGAGATGGCAAGTGCCATGGGAATTAGTGAGGTCAGTGCCAAGAATTATAAAGTCCCCCAAATTTCACCCTTACAAGCCCCATATCATACAGAAACTAGACCAAGATGACTTTGATCGCAGAATCGAATTCTGTGAAGCATTCACCCAGAAAATCATAGACAACCCCAGGTAGTTGTATACATCTATTTCAATGATGAAGCCACTTTCTTCTTAAATGTAAACAGACAGTAAACAGACACAATTGCAGGTCAGGCAAACCCATGCATGTTCCAGCAGGGGCATACATAAACACCACAGATATCAACATTTGGGCAGGAATACTTGTGAACAGAATTTTGGGACCCTTTCTCATTGAAGGCAACTTGAATAGTGATGTGAACCTATAACTGTTTCAAACCTCATCAGACCAACCATTGATGAAATCATTGAGACAGAAGTGGACAACCATGGAGATTCCCTACTTGATGAAGACAGTGTGATATTTCAGCAGGATGGGGCACCTTGCCACTATGCAAGACAAGTCTGCAAGTACCTGCATGAATCATGCCCCAATAGGTAGATTGAACGTTGTGGGCTGTACAAATGGGCACCTAGGGCTCTGGACCTAAGCCCATTAGATTTCTTTTCATGGGGCCATCTCAAAACAATCGTGTATCACACACAACCACTCTCACTTGTCAACCTTCAAGATAGTTCATTACAACCATTTGTAATTCTGACATTTGCAGAATTTGAATTGATTTGAAAAGCAATTGTACTACTGCATACAGCAAGGCAGTGCCCATTTAGAACAATTGTCATTATTTTCCAGCCACTGAACAATTAATTCCTATTAATGCAATAAATGCCTGAGAGTTTCTTTTGTTATGTATGCAAGCACAGTATAGTAACACTGTACCCCTATGACCCATTACTTCCACCAGACCCTGTATATGTTCTTATATGGGAAAGTTAAAGAGATTGTAAGGCACATCACTACACATAGAGGGTGTTTGTTAAGGAAGTTGTGTCCAATCGCAATATGCCTATTACATCAGCAAAAATGTAAAAATCAGGAAATTTTTTAAATACACAATAACAAGGACAGTTAACTGATTTAGAATCACTTAATAGTTTCCAATATAGCTGCCTTTGGCATGGATGACAAGGTTCAGACGACCCATGATAGCGTCAACTGATTTTCACAAGACTGCCTGTGGAATTCGCCCCCCATTCTTGGTTCAGGCATAGCTTGAGAGAATCCAAAGAATGGCATTTTGTAGCTCATACTTTGCTCTCCAAGATGGACCAAATTGAGAAATCTAAATAGGATTTTAAAAAATCCATTCGGCATCAAGGGTTTGTAATGGTCTGGGCCAGGATTACTGCTTCTTAACGCACTCTGCTCGTTTTCATGCCTGAGAAGATGAAGGTCAACGCTGAAGTATACCAGAAAAACATTCTGGAAGACTGCCTGGTTCCATGGGCCACAAAATATTTCAATGGAGGCAGCTGGGTCTTCCAGCAGGACTCAGCGCCAGCTCACAAGGGGCGGATGACCCAGAGGTGACTGCAGACAAATGTCCCCGACTCTATTTCAACTTCACAATGGCCCCCATACTCCCCCTAAATTTTTCAATTTGGTCCATCTTGGAGAGCAAAGTGTGTGCTACAAAGCACCATTCCTTGGATTCTCTCAAGCTATCCCTGAACCGAGAATGGGAGCGAATTCCACAGGAAGTCTTGCAAAAATCAGACAATGTTTTCATGGGTTGTCTGAATCTTGTCATTCATGCCAAGGGCAGCTATATTTAAAACTGTTAAGTGACTCTAAATCAGTTAACTGTCCTTGTTATTGTGTACTTTAAAAATTTCCTGATTTTTACATTTTTGCTGAGGTTATAGGCCTATTGCAATGGGACACAACTTTCTTAACACCCTGTAGAACCATACACCCTGTCATGTGGAATTTCCATGTGAGTATAAGGCTGAGACTTCCAAGGCTTCTGTGTAATGGATCTAAGTAGAGTCTAGAGAGAGTGAAAATTGTGAGAAGAGTGTTGAAGGGACTAATCCTTTGGAATTCTTTTCCTCATTACCCCAAGCTCATACATGTAATGGCTTCTAATGCCAAAATTTAAAAAATCACGTCATTTCCCAAGAGCATCATTAGCTAGTGTTCCTACGACCATCAGCAAAAGATCATTCCTTCTATCTGATACACCTTGTACCTACCCATTCCTCCTTTCCTCTATTTTATGACTGCTACATTCAACACTTACATGGGAGAGTAAGGAGGTGTGATAAAAGAAATGGTTCACTACAACAAAGGGAGGAAGTAAGCTGCAATCAACTTCTGCAATAGTGAAAAAACTTCTAAAATCCCATGACACTGTATTAGAGCATAATAAGTTCATACCTGGTGGGTTGGGAGTCAGGGCTCATGGCAGCCAAATGAGCCCGACGTTTGATACGCTTCCAGGCCATCTCTTTCTTTCCATTCATGGCAGGGCTATCCTCAAGAGTGCATGTCCTCTTTAACGGGGGTGAGGATGTTTCTTCATCATGCTTGGGAGATTCCATCACTGGTGCAGAAGGAGACTGCTTTTCCAAAGGTTCACCAGTATCAGCCTCTACTGCAGAGGGGAATGAAAATGTAAGGTTCTTCCCAAGAACAACTTTTAAAAGCTAAAAAATACAATTAATATGTTTAATCATACCTTTAGGTTTACGTCTCTTTCTTTTGCGCATGCTGAATGTAATGATCTTGAAAATGTCCTTCTTCTTTTTCTTTTTCTGGGGAGATTGAGGTGCAGAATATGTACTAAGTTTTTCTGCCTCACAAGTCCTAATTTCATCTCCTTTCCTTGAGACATCCTCAACACTCAATCCCTTCTGTCTTAACTTTTTTCGGCCATGAAGTGGTGACTCAAGTTCAGAGGGATGCATACGTTTTCTAGACTCTGGTGACAATGCACGATTGCGAAGTAAGGAAGTAGTCTCCTTTGCTCCATGTGCATCCAGATGTAAGGCTACTTTTCGATCAGGTGATATTGGATCCTTTGACATATCACTGCTTCCTGATCTCAATCTTCTCCTTGAATTGAATTGAGATACAAATAATGTGTCTTCCTGGTCTGAATCATCCCCTTTGGCTCCATCCTCCTTTTCTGACTTTGCAGCTGATCGAATTCTCTCCTGCCTTGTTTCCCTAACAGGACTCTTCTTCCTCAGACTGCGGAGACTGCGACGGCCAATTGAAGACTCCATTTTGGAATCTTGCTGATTTTTCTTCTTAGTATTCTCTTCTTCTGACTGCTTCAGATTCATGGCATTCCTCTCTCCAGGATCAGGTTGCTTGACAACGGTCTTCTCACCACCAGGACTTTCATCCTGCCAAACAACCAAATTTGCTCAGGAACCTAGTCAACAGAACAATACAACTGTAGTTCAACATTTCAAGGAAAACTCACACTTCCTCCTCGATCAGTGGAACTCTCTCGTGGAGGTGTATTCCTCCCTTCCTCTTCATCTTCCTCCTCTTCTTCATCATGGGTGGAGGAGTGGGCATCAGTATCCATTGCCACTTTCCTACGAATCAAAGTTGCACATGGTAGAAGAGGTGTCCAACGGAGACATTCAGGATCCACTGTCACCCTGCTGCCTTGATTGACCCTTGTCATGTGCTCATCCAACAGTGCATCATCTATGCATAGCACCAATCTACAGCAAGATAGTTTCATTATATTGATATTTTTTCTCAGATTGATGTCAAAGTGGCATGAACCAGGACATACCTGCCACTAACATCTCGTCGAATCATGCCAAGAGCACGCATGGTTTCGGCAATGTCTTCTGCATACATTCCTGTGTCAGTAGTCATTTCCTTTAGCACCAAGTTCCCATTCTCTCTTTTCCTAGAAGAAGCATAATCAAAATGGTTCATTGCAGATTGGCAGGATTGGTTCAAGCAAGGGTCAATACTGGTTCACTGATTACTGACAGATAATTGAGAAACAGAAAAATTGTCAATGATTAATACTTTTTCTAACATCTGGGAATCCATTTCACTCCCAACATCAGAAGCCATCATTCCTTTGCATGTGGGCTATTCAAAGGGTGGATATGACATCCAGAGTAATATATTTTATTGCACAAAATGTACTAAAAACAATACAGTCTGTGCTTGTTATAATGAAGTGAACTGTGCTTTAACAAATAAACACCATTTAACAGAACTTGAATTTGCATTTGGTTGGCCCCAGCATCTCTCTGTAAATGATAAATGTTGTAACAAATTATATTACAAATATATCTTGTAACGAAGTAAATTTCCTGCACCAATCGCCAAAAACAAGTTTTATAATGAAATTGCAAAATTTTAATGCCAATTTTTTCCCATAGCAAGTTGATGATAGTGTGGGGACATGGTTTTAATTGTAGCAGGATATGTATTACCTTCATGCATGTGCAGACAATCAATTAGTCGCACATTTGATTAGTCATGCCCATGTCCAAAGCAGTACTCTACAGTACACACTAGTTAGTTTCTACTTCGTCTTAACAAGTTGACTGCCTTGGCCATATTGACCTGGTGACTTTCCTACACCAAATTCATTTTTATATCCCTAGGAGCCTCCTTAACAACATACTTTGACCATCCCCTGTTATTTGCAATTTTAAGTGGTCTTTTGCAGACTTTTTGTGAGGTGCACTGCTGTGCCTCATGGTGTGTGGAATGCAATTAGGATTAGGATTACCATGCCACAAGTGCCACTGGTGAGCCTCACAAGTTTTAACACTCCATGGGGCCATTCTGTAAGTTCATTGCATTTGAAAATAATTTTGTGTGTGCGGCACCTCTGACACTGCCCGACAGTGCGGTAGGCAGCATTTCTGCAGGTTTTGTGGTGGGTTTATAGTTTATAGACACAGTTTATTGTTTATCCTGCAAATAGTGAAGTGCAAAGTAGTAAGGATGGATCAGGAGAAACAAGAGAGAAAGAATGAAGAAAATACTACATTAATTGAATTGATCTCTTTGTAAGCCTATGTGTAAAAGAACCCATCATCTTGACCAAGAAGTTGACTTCCCTGTGCCATGAGGCACATCAGTATGCTTCACTACATTTATTTTCATAACCCCCTGTAGGGAAATGTAACTGAAGAAAGTTCAGCCCATGAATATAGTTCACTTTCCTGGACCACGGCCTCACAAAACCTCTGCAGCACTGAGGTGCACTGGTGAAGCCTGAGGTGCAACAAAGGAAAAGAGGTGAGGCGCACCAGTGTGCCTCATGGTGCAGGAAAAGGGACTCAATGAGGCACACTGGTGTGCCTCATGGCGGTCAACCTGTTAAGGGTGATGAAAACTTCATTACTTTTTCAAAATCTCATTACAACATTGTAATGAAAATACATTATAATGAAGGAAACATGGCCCTTCCCTGAATTTTATAATAGTGAATATGTTGACTGTATTAAAAATGAATCAACATATAAAGGCTGCAATATTTAGCCTTAGGCAGTGACTGATCTCACTAGACAAAGTCTTGCTTGCTCTCTTTTGCTAAGGGTCTTCTATCTGTGTGTGTGAAGAGGTGTGTGTGAAGAGAAGTGTTGGACATGACATTTTGTGAAACCTGAGGTCAGAGTCACTCCTTCTTGCAGTCCCATTTCTGTGATGCATGGGAACCTATCAACTTTGTGTTATGTTCATTCTACAAATGAAATGAAGGCTTGGAACAGGTGTAAGTCACCCCATGATTACTGCGCTGGAAAATGAAGGCAAGGGTATTTTGTGACTGTGTAAGATGAGACATGTTCTGAAAGCTGATTTAAAGAGGTAAAGTATGCATTACCTTTGAATGTTCAGCTTAGAATATCATTCAAATGTGAACAATTTACATTTTCTCTTCACACCTGAGTTAAATTGAGACCATCCCTCCATCATATCAATGAGTAACAAATGATAACAATAAATTATACAAGCAACTAATTCTTTCACTATCAACAGTTAAATTCTTATTTATTCATGCCTTCAAGGAATAGAGATTATGACATTTTAAACAGAATGCAATACTTGCAAACTTTGTGAAATTTCATGCTTAGGTTCTCCAGACCACTAGACAAGGACAGACCCATGCATACATAAACACATGTGTCCATGAACTTGAACCCACAAAGAATGATCAGAAAATTCTCAAACTTGTTCTGTTCTCAAATAACTTAAATTGATGTGACTGATTCCCGACATGAAATCTATATTATGCCAGAATTCTTCACTTCAACAGGTCACTGTTGAAGTGAATTTTCATAATTCCTGTCAAATGTAATTTTTCTCATGAATTTACATAATTTTATCGTATTAAGCAAACTTGATCTCAGGATTCAGCAAGGAGCTTGGAATCTTGCCTAATACCAGACTTGACAGTCTCTAAACAAATTACATAACAAAGTATTGCATAATTTATGTCCACTCCAAATCATCCTGATCTTATCTATAAAGGACGGTGGTAATTAATATTGATGAGACCCTAAGTGGAGCATGGGCTGTCATCAGTTCACAAAACTTTTACTTGTATTTTCTTTGGCTAAATTTTGATAAAGAGGGGAAGTATTACGGAAAAGTAACACCTTACAAAAGTGAAAAAGAACAATGTGAAACAAAGTTATACAACTTCCTAATTTTGTTTAAATATGGTGTAGGAGAATAATCCAAAGAAAACTGACAACCCAAATGTTCTATCAATATCGGATCATTCAGGCCTTCTACCTGAGAAATCATATACATAAATACTCATTGAATGGTTCAACTGGAAGGATCAAATATTCAACCTTGAGAGCCAACCTCTCAAGCTCAATAAAATCACATCCCTTTTTATTCTGCTCAAAATATAAAATCAAAACTGAAGTCCTCTTTATATCATATTAAGACAATGACCAATTGAGGCAACTTACTTGAAGAGATACTCCAGAAGCACAGACTTCCAGTAAGAATAGTAGGACACCTTCCCAAGATCACTCAGTGGTTTCTCTGGAGTCCCTGGCTGACCTTCTCTTCTGGAGAGCAGGTAACCTGGTGGAGATAAAAGCAAAACCATTAGCAGGGAGATGGAGGATGGTAAATACAAAAAGTCCATGGGGAATGAGAACAGCAAGTTGAAACATACTGAAGTCAATGAGAAACCGTCCATAGCCCTGTCTCTGGTGCTGCGGCATTGTCATAATGCATGACACATTGTAACGCTGGGCACAGTGCTTTTCCTTTGAGAAATATCCCACCAAATGACAGCCCTACACCCAACCATAATGAGGTGAAATGGTGATTTCTTCTCTTTACTTCAAATGACTGTTAAAGGATATTGATACACTTATAACTCACCTTTCCATCATTGTGCGTGAGGACATAAAAAAGAAAAGGCTCCACATCATAATAAAGGGTCTTGTGATCCAAGAAGAGTTTTGCCAGAAGACATAAATTCTGACAGTAGATCTTGCTCACATTACCATCCACCTTGAATTAAAGGAACAACTTTAGATGTCATGCAAAGTTTTCAGTCAACAAAATTATAATAAAAGTGCATATACAGGGTGGCCAGAAAGTTTCTGAACCCTGCTGTTTAACAAGAAACCTGTGCTAATAATATGAAAACGTATTTACTTTCTAGAAAGTAGTGTTTTACAATGTAGTGTACATGTTATTGAAGGAATCTGAAACACAAAACCATAAATAAAAGTTCTAATTTCTATTAACAATGAGTATGGTGCCCGCCATTGCCTAAATGCTGATTAATCCTTCTGGGGGATTTCTCAATGAGATTGGAGATGACATTCCAAGGGAATGATTCCCATTTCTGTTGAACTCTCTCCACGAGCTGAGCTCTATTTCTTGGTCTTGACTCCTCGAAAATGCTTTAATGACCTATGTGGCCAATTTTACTGTGTGCACAGGTGCTCCATCCTGCATCAGAATAACCTTCTCTGTGATTGGGAAGATTGCACGGTGAACCGTGCATAAGAACATCAAAGGAATGTAATCCTGTATTTATTGTAGAGCATATTATTACTTGGAGAAAAACTAATAACGCAAAAAAAAATTGAATGGCCGGAAATTTTCAAACCCGTCAGACCCCTATCACAAACTTTTGGTCAGTTTTAGGCAGCAATAATTACTTTTAATGCTTTAAAACTTACCAAAAATGAAAGAGTAATGCTTAATTAATAAATTAATATGAAATCATTTTAATGTCTGTTGGTTTTGAAAAAATTCTGGCCAGGTCCAATCTAAGCAGCTAAAATTCAGTTTCTAGATTTTGGGCCTATGCGAAAATATGCAACATCAACACGTTTGAATTACCAAACAGACACATGTAATGCCAGGTGATGCAGTAGGGTTGTGCAATATCACAAAAAAGTAGCCAGTACTCTGTGATGAACGAACTTCAGGTACAAGAAGCACAAATGTTTATAATTTTTTTAATGAAAGGGTGAGAAACTTTCTGGCCACACTGTAGATGTACACTTTTATTACAGTTTCATGGGATGGTACTGTCATTTCATTCCAATGAATTTCATTTTTAGGCTCTTTCTTCAATTAGTGGGGAATTAAAATTAATAATGGGAATAGTCTACACCTGAACCAGATATGATCCCAGAAGAAGACTAATGCAAAAACTAAGACTTAATGGTAATTTTGGTCACTTTTTCAAATTAATCATCTTTATCAACCTACAAGGCCTTTATCAACCTGAAAAGTCTTCACAAACATTTTTTTACTCAGCATCCTACAAAGTACAAACTACTATGCAAGAAACATTAGACATTGACCTTGAACGACATTTTTGTTTCTATCAGATGATTGGTGGTATTGTAGTATCAGTAAATATGGTGGCTACTGATGAAGTTATAATCAAACTGTGTGATGCAGTGAAATTCTCAACGAAATAGGATGAATATCCTGCCAATGTCTACCAATGAAGATGATGTTTTTTGATGACTGCATGTCACAAAGAAATGTGTATATCTGGTTTAGGCATTTTAAAGGCGGATGCAATGTCACCCACAGTCTTGCATCTGTCTTGGTGGATCAGCTCATTCACGAATTGCTCACGAATTGGATACGTCGCATCAGTAGATGTCCAGTCAGACTGTGGCATACCTGTCATCATAGCATGGCCAACTTTTAAAATGCTTACACCAGTCATTCCTCTTGTGACATGTAGTCATCACTGAACACCATTGACATTTGTCAGTAGATGTTGGCAGGGATTTCACCCTATTTCATCAAACATTCACACCATGCTGTTCAAGCATAACTTCATCAGTAGCTGTCATGTTTCCTAATACTATAACCCCACCTATTGTCTCATTGAAGTGAAAAGACAATGTTGTTCACAATCAATTTCTAATGTTTTGTGCAAAGTAGTTTGTGCTCCATAGGATTCTTCACTACACAATTTTAAAAAGTTTGTGAAGATTTTTAGACAAGCCTAATAATTAGACAGGCAAAAAATCTTGAGAGATTTCAAGCTTATTTAAAAGAAAATCTTATGGGTATATAACACAGAAATATTACCTCAAAGATGGACAAGTCATCCTTGCGATAGATCTCAGTCCCTGGAGGGTGCCTCCATTCACATTTCTTCAGGTGACGCTGAAGCACTGACTTGCTTTTCATGTACTTCAGACAGTATTCACAGACAAACAACTTTTGCAAGCTGAAAAGAACCCCAAGCCACATGAACTGATATCTCAGTCATTTGTTAATCCTCACACTGCTCATGACAATATTTCATCAGCAATTCTTGGAGAATCTCAGCACATTTGTTCAGGTCAAAGTGAAGGTTAGGAATACATCATGTGAGGAAGGCCAAAGCATATTTTGGCATTCAAAATTTCACTTTAAGATGCCCCAAAAACAACCACATTGCGTGGCAATAAATTTCCTAATCCTCTAAAAACTGGTGACAGTATGCAAGGCAATTCAATACAAATCATATTCATAGTCACTGGATCCATTAATGCCAGCTTGAGAATCCTTCATTTATTTGAACTTCAGCCAGTATTCACTCACTTGCAAACCTGACATTAACAGACTACTGTAATATGTTCTGCAGAGAAGTTAAAGAGAAGTTCAGGTACATGGCAAGCTTATTTCAGGATCATTTCCTCAAATTTCTGTCAAAAGAAGACCACTTTAACTATCTCTCCCTTTGAATAGATTTGATGTACTTTGGAGTGAAGGCTGGAGATTTCATCTCACACATACACCAACATCGTATAGGTGTAAGCAAAGGTTCGTTCCTCATTATTATTAGCCATTCATCCTCATATTTGTATAAAGATTCTCACACTTACTCAACAAAATCTGATTCATCCAGGTCACTCTGAGTCACTTGACTGGTTTTCCATAAAGTTGAGAAAACTTAGGCATCAACATATCCTATCAGGTAGAAGGTAGAGTTCCAAACAGTCTAAGCAGGAAAAAATCCATGAATGTTATCCTGTGATTCCCAACTTCACGGATGCCTGTTACATGTAAAGGTAAATGGAAATATGGCAAATACCAAGTTTGATTAAAATTCAAAAGATGAATTTTCTCCATATGAAAATGGTCACACTCTCATTTCTGACACCACTAATTGTGTTTAATCTTATGGTCCTGCTGCAAAACAATAGGTTAAAATGCAACAAAGGAAATTTAATCAGAACAGACTATTTTCCCAATAGAATTCAAACTACCATAACAGTATGAAGAATAACCAAAGTATGTGATTAATTACCTGATGAGTTCAGAAACCATATACAAGGGTGTTGCAAATAGTAACAGCAATTCCTGTCCAAGCTGTCCATGTGAGCCTATATCTAGGAAACCACATTATGTGCACATAGACTGAACAATTTTATTCAGAATTTAAAAAAACCACTTGCTCTTCCTTGGTGCACAGAGAGCATATTTGCCTTGTTGATTTGGGGTCCACAAGCACCACCACTGACATTCTCTTGAACTAAAGTGCACATTCTGAATAAACTTGATCTGTCTTTGTGCCCATTATGCAGTTTCCAAGGTATAGGGTCATGTGGATGGCTTACCCAGGAATTGCTGTCAGAGGCAACTCTCATTAATCCAAACTCAAAGGGACTGGTGATTTTGTCAGGATAAACAGCTCATCTGGATTATTGAGAACCAGCCCAAGTGACCATTCATTTTTCTTCCTTTTTCCTGGAGAAGGAAATTGCACTTCTAATGAGCAAAAAAGGGCCACCATTTTCTTGCATGGGAATTGGAAAACTTAGACTCTATTCTTTCAGTCACATAAAAAAATTCCAAATTGGTCAAGTACAGATTAGACTGAGAGGTTAAGTGACACAACAATATAGCATGATAGTCTCAATGAAGAGAGCATCTGTCATGAAAGGGGTGAGATCAAATTTGTTTCTCTTTTTTTTTTTTGTCTTGTTCAAGAGTGAGGGGGGGTGAAGACATATGGAAGAGACAGGGATATATTTTATTTTCTGTTGTACCATGTCTTTTGCTAGCAAGTCTGGATTAACAGGGGAGGCCCAGGAGATAAGAAATCCTGTCTGGATAAATGAAAAATACAGAATAATGAAAATCCTGTCTGGATAAACAAAAATACAGAATAATGATGTCCAGATTGGAGAATTTTATTATTGGTTCAATGGGACTTCTGCTGGGAATATTCCTAATGCCCATATTACCAGAAGATTTGGATTACCTGCATTCAGATAAATGGGGGTTGACTTTACTTTTTGAAATACCCTCATAGCAATCCATTAAGGGCAAGATCCTACCAATAACGTGTAGTGCAAGAAGATTCTTTTAGACCTGCTTCCCCACATCAGGGATATTTCACTGTTGTCAAAGAAGACAGTTTCTGCTTTGAGAGCAGCATGAGGAAGTTTCTGCGACTTCCCCCACTGTGAGGTCCCTCACAACTGCCATTAATCCACAATCTGTTCACTATATAAGGTACAGACAATGGGTTGTCCATTCCAATCCATCTCTCCACTAGCCACTCATGAATTGGAATGCGACTCAAAACTGAAACTGGAAAAGGACCCCTGCTGTGAGGTGAAAGGAGGAAAAGCCTTAGTGTTATGGATGCATATGCACATGGATGGAGAGCAAAATTAATTTGCAGGAAATTTCAAAGGGGTCTTGGGAACACATCAGTCTATGCAGAGCATAAGTTTTTTTAAGTATGGCTCCAGGAAATGTAGTGTTACTAAGGTTAAAAGTAGAGATGCAACGATATTGAATTTTGGCCGATATCCGATATACCGATAATTCTGATATTGGAAAAGAACCGATACCAATACCGATAACCGATACTGATATCTATATATACATTTATATTTGCACATTCAGGATAGATTTTGAACAGTGAACTATCTGATTTTGCTGCTAAACACATATTTCCAGGAAATATGTGTTTTCCCCAGAATAAAGCTGCATTATCAGATTGTTCTCTGTTCAAAAATCCACCCTCAGGCATTTATCCCTCCACTTTTAAGTTTTATTTGGGATCAGGTCTGATGGGGAAAGCTTGAGGTGGTGGTGGTGCACCTCATGATTTTGCCATTTCTCCAATAGTGAGAAGAAATGATTTCTTCATGCTGAAGCCAGGCTCCTCAATGTGGATTTTTTAAATATTACATCGGATTTACATCAGGCCTTTTATTTCCTATGTTCCATCCTAGAACTTGCAATAAGATGGAACTGCAATTCTTTTTTTTTTTTCAAAGTAGCACTCTGTTCAGAAAATGTCAAGAATGTCAAAGTTCCCTCCTTCATACCTCTAAAGGACACCCAGACAGACATGACTGACAAATTGTTAACACATCAGGTAATTTTCCATGAAGATGAAATGCGAACATAACTGCTTTTCAGGAAAATTTATAAGGCAATCAATCATATTATTATATTACAGAAGGTTTTATCTACAAATATATTTATGTAATGCATTATATTATAAATATTCAAATATAAATTATGACATTATTAGTATTTTTGGTAAATTAGGGCTGCACCGACGTATTGACAACCACAGAGATTCGCCTCTGGTGTTGCACCATTGACGCCATGACTACGGTAAGGTTGGAAGCTGTCGATGCCGAAGCCTGAAAGAGGGCAAAATGCAAAAAAAAAAAAAAACTACGTGAGTGTGAGCGCGGTTTGTTTCCCGGCCCGCCTGTCTCGCTGAAAGCCTTCCCTGCCGTCCTCTCCCAGAAAAAAGTATCGATCAAATTATGCGAGGAGTCCTCGATTTACGTCGTTTCGATATAACGTCGCTAACATATACCTCATATACGTTTCGTCGTTCCGATATGACGTCGTAAATCAAGGACTTCCTGTATATAATTTAGTCCATGGGAAAATAGGTTTCGTTTTACGTCGTGTTTACCGGGAACGTATCCATGACGTAAATCGAGGACTTACTGTATTTCAACCCGATTGTAGGAACTGGTGGAGGAAAAGAGCCGTAAAGACCGTGAAATAATTGCAACTCCTTTTATGCTGTGCATTAGCGAGTAGTGCCGGTTAAGCTCTCATATCAGCAATAGGTAACCATGACGGACGCAGACAGACAGGCTGGAAAGGTCTATAAGGGGTCTCTATCGTTTTCAGGAGACTCATTGATTAGTATCATAAGGCTTTCAAATAGGCCTGTTTGAATTCGTATGCGATTTCATGTTACTTTCGCAAGCTATAGAGTATAAATCATCATCGGCTCCGGCACCGGTCAATGGGTACGAGTTCAAAATGCGCCATCAGTTTACTGGTCAAATGTGGCCATCGGCACGGTCCTAACATGAATATAAAGATGATAAAATTCTTGAAAATCGGTGGTTCCAAATGGAACCTCTGGGCACGAAAGAGTTGAAATCGGTCCAGTGATTTTTGTACCAAGGTTTTGGGATCCATCTAGGCCTGGGTTCTTCGCGCTAACGTAAGCGATGTCTATTTTCGCAGAAAGTACGGAGTAGGCTATGGTAGTGGCATTAGGCCGAGTCAAGTAGATGACGCTTCTCATCTCTTTCGCGGGTGACTGGGTAATGAGCTTATGTCCCGTGACAGGGTGGCCTGGGCTCGAACCTAGCCAAGTCGAGTGTATATTTCCTAGTTGAACCGCCAGCGTGCTTGGGAAGGAAGGAACCCGAGCACAGAGCGCTCCTATCTCTAGATGTGGGACGTTGAGGAACCGCGGCAGTGAAGGTCGAATCCCAGGGGAATCCCAATGCAAAAATGCTTATATTTTCAGCAGCCTAATGCTTCTTTTTTCTTTTTTTAAACGGGTCATTTAGGCATTTTCAACCTTCTGCAGTGTTTTCACTTGAGTTGGACATTTTTTCACTTGACTTTGACACTCGTGCATGAGGAACGTCACATGAACGTATGTTCGAGTCAAGTGAAATGTTGTCTAATGGGAAAAAGGTGAGAATATTCATAATTCGCTTTACATACTTAGCGTTTGGCATACTTCAGGTGTAAATTCAATATCGGTTATCGGCAGGTCATTTATCGTTTTAGGCCGATATATCGGATTCATCTAATATCGGCCGATACCGATAACCGATAAAATATCGTTGCATCTCTAGTTTCAAATGTTGTTCAGAATGAGAGCAAAACTCTGACATCTCTATTTCAAAGTTCAAATTTTTCTGGAATAAGTTTAGGAGAATCTATGGAAGAAAATTGCATCAATACCATTTTATCAAATGTGAAGAATTTCAGTGACTTCCCAACCAAGTAACCATATTAATCAGCTGTGTGTCTGTAGCAGAATCCCTTTAAGCAATTTGACCTCATTTGCTGGATTTATCATAAAGTATGACCAGAATGAAGATTGACTATTGCAGAAACTAACCAAGGTCACTGTTGAAAAATAAGTGTGTGTTATCTGATGATGTCATTGAAAGAAGAAACAAGCAAGAATATTAGCATACAAACAATGTTTTTACAGGAAGCACTTGGGCGAAGTGAGGGAGTCTGCGTCCTCAGCGGCACTTCTCGACTCCTCCACGGTCCAGGAGGCATCAGGCCGCCAGCATCACCTGGAGAAGCTCCAGGACAACACGTCCGACCCAGCTCGCTTCTACCACGTCCTGCACGTGGCCCAGAGCTTCGGAGACTACGAGAAGGTCTTTCGAGGAATGCACGAGAATTTCCTCAATATCAAGTTCAAGGATACCCACATGCAAGCTGTGAGCCTTCTATACATACTTAGCGTTTGGCATACTTCAGGTGTAATTTCAATATCGGTTATCGGCAGGTCATATATCATTTAGGCCGATATATCGGATTCACCTAATATCGGCCGATACCGATAACCGATAAAATATCGTTGCATCTCTAGTTAAAAGTTGGGGTGAGTCCATAGCCAAGGATTGGAATGTTTAAGGATGCTTCTGTACTTGATTGAGCTGCAAATTCATTTCATTGGGAAGGGCAGTATTGAAAAGTGAATGGGTGAATCAAGGTGAACTTTATTCAGCAAAAGGAGTGAGAATTACTGGTGGCTATGTGCAGGTCTTGAGCTTTTTAAACTTTCAATGCTGCTGTTAAAGCTATAACACTCCTCTTCAGTAGTGAAAAATACCTGGTGTGAAGAGGTCATGCCACACTGGAAATTGTTGGCAATACTGTTCCTAATGAGACTCTTACATAAGGGGTATGATTGGCCTTTATGATTTAATTACAAATAGACAAGACTGAAGTTCATTTGACATACCTTGCATATTCTTGAGGATAAGGCGAAGAATACCATGTCTGGATCTCATATTTGCCAAACTCAACTGATGCAGGGCACCTGCCATTAGCCACTGTGGCTGGATCATTCAAGTTTATCAATGGTGTGGCCTGTGGTACAGATAAAATGTATCCAAGTCATTCAGATGAAGGGAAAATGTCTGATTTTAGCTGAGGGGCAATTTGACTTCATGCTGCTACAAACATCTTCAATGATAGCATGCACTGCCACTCTGTAATTAAGTATACTGAACAAAAGACCCTGGCTAAGAACACATGGTGTGAAGGATGGCTTGGATTATGCAAGATATTAGAACATAGAAAAATAAGTTAATAGCCATGACATAATTAATGTTGGGTTGGTTTGGCTCCCTGGTGTGACAAATGGAGGGGGTTGGGTAGAGATATGGGACCAGTTTGAAGGGCAGGAAGGGAGTCAAATGGACATGTACCAGAAGTGTTCCAAAGAGGATAAGATCAAACAGGAAGAACACATTCAGAATCCCTCAGAGGATTCCTCTAGGAACATTTCATTCTCAGGGTGACTAAGATAGGCTTCATGAAAAAGGTAGGAAGGCAGGTCTACTTGGTAAGAAGTCATCCACTAAGCAAATGTCCATCAGAAATGCCTCAAGAAGCTATCAGTTGATCAACGTTGTGTAGGCTGATTGCTGTGTATCATAGTAAGCATGGGGAGTGAAGCTGCTTAAACCATTATTTATTCAAATGAAAATAATACTAATAATGCAAGTGCTGGTAAATTCACAAATCAATCGATTTTTTGCTATTCCATTTTTCCAAGTAAAAGCAACATTCCTACAAAGGCTTCTCAAAAGTTAGAAGCACTTTTCTGCTGGTCAGAATTGACCACCTGCCCATCAAGGCATCTCCCAGATGCAAGCAATTGTATTCATGCATGGGGGTCACATTGTAATTTCCCCCAGTGGCCATTTCCATTGACCCTACATTTGTCTTCCCCATGGTTTCATTTGGGTTCCCACCAGATATTACAGCTCTATGATGCACAGTTTGCACATTACAACCACCTGAATACACCCAAAAACTTTGTACTAACCCTATACGTGATAGGGAAGGTCATAATGAACACCACTTTTGGAAAGTTCATGTGTTTAACCAAAGCACTGTCAATTAATGTGGTATTATGCACCAACTTTGAAACTTTGTTCATATTGGCATGCAAATAAAGTCAACACCATCTCCCAACATGTGAGTGCATTGGATTACGAAGTCCATACAGTATTTGCAAATGGCTATATCTTCTAAATCCATAGAGGAGTCATTGGATCCTTCTTTGAATGAAAGAGAGTGAAAGGGTCTATTTGGGAGAAAAATTTAATTAGAATTCATACATTGGTTTTGAAGAATATTGTAATTTGATGATACAGCAAAATACATACAAGGTGACCCAATCGTGATTAAACTCTTTTTCGCATTATAATATTCTTCAGACAGGCTACAGTTGGAACATGCTGTTGATGAATGCCAATGGCTGACATCAATGAGAACCCTGACTTAATGGGAGGAGATAAGAAAAGGAACATCACCTCTGCTGCTATCTCCTGGGCTTTCTTGAACATCTCATAGTCCCGCAATGTGACACCAGAAGGAAGACTCGGTCTTGCCACTAGAGAATGAGACAGTAAGAAGGTCTGATAATACTAATCAATTAATAATTACATGTACATGTACATGTACTTCATGCAAAAATCAAATCAAAGGGCCACCTTGCTTGCAGTTACATTCTATTGTACACACATTTTACAAGGAACATTGTCTTGTACATCATTATGCATGATTGTGCATATATCATTATGAATGATATGATTCCATGAAATTATACACACAAGCCAGAGCTGTTTGATGAACATGAATCTATTGGGAGTGAAGGCAATTTAGGACTAGAACACAAGTAGGATAAAATGCCACCTGAAACTATGTACTATAATTATAACTAGAAAAATGAAAGATAGCTTACAACCATATACATGACAATGTTACTTTGATATAGCAAGCCAGTGCTACTTTTCAGTTGTCTAGGACAACAAGTCTCAAAGATTTGCCAAAGTAATGGTTGCAAAGCATCTCTAATGTTTGTCTGAGATATGTTTTCTCATAAATATAACATGACCATTCATGAAAATTCAGCATGTTAGTTTCTTGGATACAATTCTTTTAATAGCAATCCAGTGTTCCTTGGCCTTCACTCCAACATAACAGTGAAAATTCAGTATGGGAGATCAGGCATCTTTCCTTCCAAAAAGGCAATGCAGAAAACAGGTACCTTATGCTCTTCAATTTCTTAGAAAAACTTGATTTCATGAGCAAGAATGCCAAAGCCTTGTCTCAGTATATGTAGAACTTGAGAAAAAAGGAGCAGAATTGAGTGTGGTGAGCTTCTTCAAATAGTCCCACCATATTTGTTCAGAGCTTCCCAGGTGAAGGGTTTCAGACCATTAATTAGGGAAAGGAGATCATACTTTTAAAAGGTGGACAGTTCTCCTCTAGTCTGACTGGTTTCACCCATCAAGCATTTACACAGGTTTCACCTAAACTGTCAAGCATAAGTTACTAGTATATTTTTTGTCTCTTTACTATTTCTTCAATGGTTTCTTGAAATGTACACCAATGCATGGCATAAAATGGAAAGTTCCAAGCTCTCACAGAGCAATAAATAAAATGTCTACATTACCATAATGTATTCTCCTTCCTTTGGAGAATTAAACATTACAGAAACCTGTTTGAAGCCCAGCATGAAGGTGAATAGCAGTGCAGTCAGTAGCAGGTTTTTTGTTACAAACATCAATGGAATCTTAATCCAAAGTTCTTTTCTCGAAGACTCTCTCATAGTCTCACATACAGTGATTGACTAACACTGCACATAGCACCAGAGAGAGGATACAGCATGAGCAGGGTAGTGAGAGGTAAAATATGAGATCAGTTATTTCAACTCAGCTGTATACATGAAAAGCCTCAGTATTTCTTTGTCTCAACTCTACCACATTTCTTTTTTCCACTGTCACCACTCCAGAAATGTTGGCATCTGTTTGGTATCAACCCCTTAAGCTATGGTGACCAGGTCGTTCCAGTAAAACTGGGGCAGGCCATTTTCTCTGGAACAGCCCCTGGTTTTGAGGTACTGCCCTGCTCAGAAAACTATCCAGCAATTTTTTCTTTCAGTGCCACTCATTTGTAACAAGTAGCTCATTGGCCTATTGTCAACCATAAATGGAGGGAAAATGTCTTAGATTTTCCTCTTAAAAAAATATGGTCACCCTACCTTAAGCAGTTGTCACATATAAGTATGGGGTAGCTTTTATTGACATAAAGCAGTTGTCCTGTAAACAGGGTGTCCCAGAAGGAGGTAGCCAATTTTTATTTCTTGAATACACCAAACATACACAAGCTTTTGGTATAAACTCATATGGGATAGGAAGAGTGGTCTTTGAAGTTTCATCTGATATACAACTTGTTCACTTTTATAAACCATCAGTGAATACACTTTTTCTTGTTCTGACTGAACCATGTCAGGGTACTTGAGTTTGGAGGAAAGACATAAGATAATGGTATGAATGGTTGATTAATAAATAAAAATAATAAATAAAAAATAATAAATAAGAAATAAAAATCCTCCTGGGACACCCTGTATATACAGGGTGGTGCAAAAGTCAGGACACATAGGGTTAACATTTATTTCAATAAATATTTAAACTGCTCTCCATTAGTATGAATACATGTTTCAATTCTCTTTTCAAATGAACGTAGGACTTTCATTAAGGTCAGTCATGCACACTTCCAGTGTCTTTAAGTGCTTGATAACTTTTCTTATGGCTGAAAATCCAACATTTCTGTCTGTGTGCAACATATTAAATTCATTGGCAACTGATCAGTAGGTACTGCCTTCTTTTGTGTACATATAAACTAACTGCACCTGCTCCTCTTTAGTCAATTTTCCAGCCAGTCTCACCTTTCACCTGAAAAGGGCAAAAAATAAAACAGTAAATTTGTCATAATGCCTGTGTCCTGGCTTTTGCATCACCTGGCACTTTGCCTTTGAATTGTTCCACCAACAGAAAAGAAGAATGCTACAAGGTTGTGCATTGCTTGCTATAGCAAAAAGAATTCAAAAGGGAAAAGGGTCAGTCAAGAAATAAGATACCAGTGTGCTGATTGTGATGTTGGTCTCTGTGTTCAAACCTGCTTTAACATATATGATGCTGTCAATAAATTTTGAAACATTCCATGAGTCACTCAGGAACCTAACTAACAATTGTAAGATAAATAAATTCATTGTTGTAGCATTAAAAAACCTTTATTTCCCCAAGGGTACTTCACCAAGCTTTCGTGCCCAAATTAGGTTGCTATTGTACCATTCTACTGAGAATGGTACAGTGGAGTACACAAATGATGCTTGGTTCACACAACAGTGTGAACCAGGCAACACTTAAGGGGTTAAAGCAGCACTACTATAGGCAAATGATGGGGAAAGACTCAGTAGCAGCCTGTGAACAGACCACCATGACAGGTGAAATAATAATTTAATGTGGTGCTTTTTCCTTGGAAGCATCCCAAGGCCAAGGAAGAGGATAATTACCTTCTCTCCCCTACCCATTACAGACCTAAATAATTGAGCCATTAATCTGCTCACAAAGAGAGGACCAGGAACAAAAGAAAAATATTCTCCTCTCTTTCCCAAGTAGGACCTTCAGCTTCAAACAAACAAAAAAACAAAACAAATACACCTACCTTTCCTGTCTTAAAAAAAAGATGGTTCAATTCAACTTTTTTAAAGTAAGAAATAAATTTAGCTTCATAAATTTGTTTATAAATGCTCAAAAAAAAAACCTTTAAAAAGTAGCTTGGTTACTCTCAAAACCCCAGAGATGTTGCAACCATACCATGCATGAATTCCACTTCATCAACTTGTTCCCCCTCAGGACTTCAGTCCCCTTCCAGAGTATAGCAGATACAAAGTTTTCCTGACCATATTCTATATTGGTTTCAGACTGACTTTTTCCCCTTCCTCCCCTCTTTGGTGCTGCTGTCAGCAGCACTCGAGACATACCTAGTGGTTATAAAGACTAAATGATGGCAATGTGTAGCAATGTCAAGAACATAAAGCAACACCACTTCCAGAATAAAAGGAACCAGTGAGTATGGAACTCATACAAATGGCAAGAAAAGTAAATCTGATAACAATTCCCAGCCTGTCTGGTGGTGCTCACTGGGATGGCTCTTAGGCATCTCCACTAAAACAAGTTAGCTGCATTCTAAGACAGAATTCACTGAAAGCTACTACCAAGGAGCAAAAAAAAAAAAAAAAGGAAAACTATGAAATCTACATGTTCTACATGCACTAACTACTGAAATTCCCAAGAACTACAAGGAAAAAATGATAAAATGGCACATTAGGCATCAGTTTACAACCTGGGACTCCAGGTAACCAAACTTCCCAACTGGACAATGATGACTTGGTAGTTAATGAATGTCCATCAGGGTTGGGCTATTTTTCCCACTGCATTTGGGATGCAACTGTTGAGGATAAATGCAAACTTCACAGGGTCATTAAATAAATGTGGTAAGGTATGAACCATGATCTCACATTAGCCTTATCCTGTACTTCCCTTCTTCTACCATACTGTGCTCATGAACAATTGAGATGTCTACGTAATTTCCTTTATCTACCGTTTTCCTCCATGTTTGCACCCTTTACTACCTCACTATCTCATCTGTCATTTTGAGGCAGTCACCCAAGGAAGGCTTCATTAAGTGATTCATTGTATTCAGGGAATGGGTACATAAGGTGTCCATGACCACAGGTGCTTTCCTGACTTTTGCATTCTTGAACAACACATATATTTTAACCCTTTCGCTGTTAACCCGAGTACATACTCGGGCTGTGAATGATGCTTTTGCAGTGGTAGCCGAGTATGTAATTGAGCTCTGAAACCCAGTCCTTTTTAGGTGTCTTTCTCCTCTATTTATGTATGTAACTGACATAAATTCAGTATTTGTCAATGTATGTTACTTTCGGAAGCAATGAATAACAAAAAAAAGTGCAATCTTAATCGACCCATTCTGTAAAAATGGTTTCCTGCACACTTAGTTTTGTGTTAGATGATGATGAAATACATATAATTTTAAATGTTGATTCTGGCATTTCCAGTGTTAGTAATGAAAATGAAGGTGATGTAGAAATGGAAGTTGAAGCTGAAATTTAAGATGAAGATTACAATGATGGGAGTGGAGATGCAAGTAGGAATAGTGGTAGACCAAGGGGGCGAAAAACCTGTGTGATGTACCCAAGTTCAGCTAGAATCCCCATGTAACTCATTGCTTGACTTTTACAGGAAATCCTGGATTGAAAATGAATATTCCAGATGATCTCCCTGAGATAGACATTTCTGAACTAATTTTCACAAATGACCGGAGCCAATTTATTTGTTCCTGGCTCAAGGAAACCTCCTTGAACAAGTAATAACAAAAACATAAAAATTGGAATCAGACCTTATTTCTAACACAACTCTAAATGAATATTCAAGGGTAAAACGAAGGAAAAACAGTTTGTTATAGGAATTCTGTACAGCTGTTTTGGCACTGATTTTAATGGGCATTACAAAATAGCCTACCATTCAGTCTTGGTGGAAATTGAACTTTTTATCATCCCTGCCACTGGAAAAATCATGTCTGCCAATAGATTAATACACATCTCAAAATTTCTGCACTTTTCTGATAACACTGGCTGTTCCTGGAAATAAAATGTCCAACACATTTCAGTCTATCATCAATAACTTTCAAGATATGACAATTTAAGCTTAAACCATTGTTCACAGAGACACAATGAAATTCTTAAAACACTGGAGGTCATGAGTGATTTTTTTTTCTTTTTTTACCAATGAAAGGGTTAAGAAGGGAAACTGACACATGATCCACACAAGGGTCACCCTGGCTCACCATCTCAAAGCTGGGTGGGGAGCACTTGTGGAAGGTGATGCTATCAAACTTCAAATCTGTCCTAATTGCTCATTCACCTTGTTATTATTCCAGCAGTTATGATGTACTCCATGCAAAACAAAAAAGGAGAAGAAATAAAAACCCTCCAATCTTAAATAACTTGATGCCATGACATCACAGAATAATAAGGAATAGAGAGGGAAGAAAGGGAGAGAGCCCACTGAATCTGCATGGATCTAAGTGAGAAAGCCAATGGTGACCTCACAAAACAATGTGACTTCTGTGGTTGTACCATAACTAGTGCATCCATACAAATTTTACTTTTATGTTTGGAAAAAAGTTTATAGGAAAAAAAAAAGACCCCTGAATTGGAAAATTGGAGCCACCTGAGGCAAAAGTGTAAAAAAGCCAGAAAAATGCACAAACTTATCTTACTATCATACTTACATATAATAATATTTACAAATTCATAGTTTGCAAGCATTATTTTTAAGCTAGTGATGTTCATAATATACTGTCCATAATATAAACCATGGTCATGGTTACAAAAATTGTCCTATATGCTATTGCAGTGCAACAATTAAATTTTCCAAATGGAATGTTTGAAGGGAGGGCTTGAACTCAAGTCAATGGAGACTACTCTAAGACATTTGTGATACATGTACAAAGAACATTTTCTTCCCTGCATATAAAGCCAAATAGCAATTTTCTGGAGTGGCTTTGCTTCCTGAGACCTTTTCCTTCAACCATTTATTCTGCATGCTTTCACCTATATTTGACATGCACTTGTTTTGTGTCTCTCCTTGAAAATCTTTCCCTCACCCCATGATCAATTGGACAAAGGGACGGCAGCAGAATTTTATGAACTGTTAAAATTTCTTTCACAGAAACATCACCCATTAATACATTTCCAAGGTAGTAATCTTGAATAGGGGATTCCACCCTTGATATTGCCCACAGGAGAGGGAGGAAAGAGGTGGGCATTACAGGTAGACCCATCACATAATATAGCCTATTTTAGCACCAGCTAAAATGTAACATCACAGGTCAATCTACATTGGTGCCACTATTGACATGCATGAGAGTCCCTTGAGTAACAAGATGGCAGGATGAAAGCAACCTAAGTTCAACATTACCAAATGTGAATTGATCACACGACACCAGGAAATTAAATTTGCCAAGTGAACTTGTGACCCTGCAGATGCTTCTCAAAAACTGACAACTACCATCAAAAGAAAAAATTGACTAAGGGTACATTTAAAATTGCCTTGCAGGGTTCATTTTGCATTTCCAGTGAGCACACAATTTAAAAAAATATACAATCTGTTTGAAACATGATAAAAATCTATTATCCTTCACCTCAGAAGCAGGAAATGAGGGAAATATGCAACCAATTGCAAGCCACATTCCTATGTCAAATTCCAAGCCCCCAAATTTTCACCATCACCTCTTTCTGTTCCATCATAATCATGCATGTACCAAGTGGCTCTTATTTTTTCTCAGAATGCCACAAATTATCTACAGCTTGTACAAATTATAATCATAATCACTTTCTCCATAGGAGCTCTCCAGCCCCATGGTCAATGCCATTTGTATAAGTTGGTACAAGGCAATATATATCCACAAATCATACTTTTCCAATGCATGGAGCAGCATAGTGCTACACTGTTCCCCAGATACAAGTGGAAGAGATCAGTCTGCATGTGAAGAGAGTGACATGAGGTTCACACGCCCAACTTAGGCATATGAACCTTTATTGCATTCTTTGCATTTCCAATGATATGTAAGACTTTGATTCCATCAATACTAAAAAAAGAAAGGTTAAACTCATTTTCCATGGGAATTTTCCATTCACTACCTTCAGATAAAAACCAATCCAGGTTTTATTGCAGCCAATGCCTAAAAGTTGTAGACAATTTTGAAAAGAAAGCAGAGATGGCCCAATCTGACTTACAATTCAATATATGAGTTGTGAATCATCAATAAAATGTAGACTTTGCTACCAAATTCTGAATTCTTCACCTAAGAATGAGATTTGGTTCAAGCCAGGTGTGAAATGACATGAATTTGATGAATATTCAAAAGTGAGGATACAGAGATTCTAATTTTATTCTTCCCTTTGGATGCAAGACTAAATACATAACAAACAGTGCATCATGGAGCCAGGATTACATCAGAACTGTTCAAGTGCTGCACATATCAAGAGCCAAAGCTCTTCCCACATATACATGTCATGCAGCACTCCAAAAGTGTCAAATTTGGTACCATGGCCAATGAGAGGATTGAAGAAAAAAAAAGAAAAAAAAGAGATAGCACTTGACTCAATCAGAAGTGAAATCAAAGAGATCTGACCTGTTTTGAAATGAAATATACTTATAAACTTGAGTTTGTTCAGTTTCATAAAAGTTCCAATTTGATTCATGATTTGGCAAATCACAACCTGGACATTCAATATATGATTCAGGATTCACTACTTCAAAGCACTGGTGATTTGAATCTTACTAGAATCTCAGAACAGTTTGATTCAAGTACTAGAAAGAGAACTAGACAAATTATGGTCATTTCAACAGAATGGAAAGATGTTCCCCCCCCCCCCCCTCCCCCCTGTGTAAGGCTGGATTACCTGCCTACTTGGAAAGAATTTGATGCAATGCCAAAGCAAATATGAATGCCATGGCACCACCAGATCACATCACAAACCTCCATCGCAGTAAAACATGAATTCTGGAAAGAATAGCTATCCACAAATCTCTGACCAATAGTTTGTTAAGATCCATGCTGAGTGTAGCTCATCTTGAATTCCATTGATGGCAATTGTTGAAATGGAATGGGGTGAACAATTTTTAACTGAGCTTCTTCCAGGAATCATAAAATCCCATCAAGTTAAACCCACATAGTATATATAGTCAACCTTCAATATAACACCACTGTAGGACATCACAGATTTTGATGCTGTAATGAGAGTGGCACTATATTGAACAATCTATATTCTGTATTATACAGGTCTATGGGGATATATGTTCACAAGCTTGACTATAAGCGAGGGCGGTGTTATACTGAATGGTAAAATAATGAGAGTTGACTGTACTACAACTTCATTTCCCCCCCCCCCCCCCCCCCAACCGAAAGCGACGTCTTGTGTTTGGAGATATTTCGCAATAGAATGACACCCTCCTCGTGGGATTGTTTCTGGTAATTCGTACCTGAAGCAGCCCCCCCCCCCCCCCAAAAAAAAAAGGATAGAAAATTTTTTCAACATGCTATAATCTGATGCAATCTGATGTTCTTATCTCACATTTTAATCTCAAAAGCATGAAGCCAAGTTGTTATCCTACTCATAACACATTTCAGCTTCCTCAGCATCCACCATTCAATAGCTGGCCATAATTAAACCTCCCATGCCGCATTTGATTACATGTTCAGACTTAATTTGGAAAACTTCACTTCACATTTCCTTATTTATCAGAGATGAACATCCAGAAAGGAGAACTGTGATTTAAATTTCAGATGCAGTTTTTATAGCTTGTAAAAATTATATTTACTTGGACTAAAAAAATGCATTTGAAATTCAATCCATAAAATTTATTTCAAAGTTGGACTAGATTTTTACAAGAATTCACAGTCCTTGCTTTTAAATATCAATGTATGGTACAACATTTGCCAAGTTGGCCAGACCCAGTGCAAGCTTCCTGAAACAATCCAATTTATAATAGGTTACTTATTTTGCTCTTAATGCAGATTAGGTTGAGATGGTGACACCCCAAGGCATTGGGAGACCTGTCATGTTGACACCATAATTCCACAATTTAATTATACCCATACAATGATAGTAATACTAGGACTGTCTGAGGAGTAGAATATGCAGCTAATCTACAGCTAAAAGAGAAAAACCCTGACACAAAAACTGACACCTAGCAAAGCAAGGGAGCAGGAAAAAAAAGTGAGTTTCCTCTTATTCAGATTTTGAATTTTAGAGGGTCCAATACCAGTTATTACAGGGGATTTTCCTTAATGGTTCTCTCAACCCTTTGCACTCCATTGTTGTGCCCAATGCAGCATAAACAGCACAGTGATGGCACAGGGGTGGAACAGTGGAGTGCAAAAAATTAACTCTTAACTGATTTGACTATTGGAGGGGATTTTTGACAGCACACATACCCAGGAGAATATTGCCAAACAATTGAATATTCTAGCCTATTGTTAGATTCTAAAGAGGGAGGGGCAGGCCTTTTGTGTATGCTTTGTGCAAGTTCTGTGTACATCTTATCCTGCATTGAATGGAACTCGTTCCTGTGAGAACTTGAATACCTAACTTACCAATTCATCACCAGATATGATGTATAACAAGGTATACTGAGCCATGCAATAACTGCAATTGTGAAATGATCCACAAGCTGAAGAAATGCTTCAGAGAAGACTGATGCTAAGATAATGTCAGTCTCTAATGATGAAAAAGGCTTTCATCACCACTACAATTTGTGACGTGAGATGTAATTTGGTATCATTTTGGCATCTTCTTTTTCCATGAATGTACCTGCACAAGAACAAGAAGAGAAGAGCTCTATTTGGGAGAGCCTATTAGGTAAAGGGATTCAATGCAGTAAGTGTGATGAAAATCTTCAAAAAGTTTCACTGTTTTATACATGGTCATTTCTTTGTTTTGTAAGACACATAGTTGAAACATGAAAACTTATAACTGTACTGCTCAGTGTGTGTCAAATATGAAGCCTATGCAGTATTCCATCAAAGAGATCTAAGCCATTATGTCATCAGAGATTTCCATTAAATTCCTACATGGGAGAATGAATAAGGGTTAAGAATTGCAACATTTTTGTCACATATATTTTTTCAAATTGCAAACCTGTTTCATGGATATTCTGACACTACCAGTGAAGTTTTCAATACTGACACCAAATGGGATGTTCCCTACAATCCAATGGAAGGCTGTGGACCATGTACTTACATTTTGTTAAATAGAGATTAGCACTATTAGAGGCTTACCCTACCAAGTATGAAGTTTCCCAACTCAGGAAGTGGTATTGGGTAATAATGTAGTGCTACTCTGTTAACAAAAAGGCCCATGAAAATGAACACTTCTGCATCAGAACCTCTGTGGCAAAAATTTCACGTTAACTGGGTAGTCTTTACCATTGATGTGCAGCAGACATGACACCCATTGATCCATTTCACCTTCAGAGATGAACAATCCCTTTCTGACTCGAATTTGATGAAAGCATCAGTTACACAGCTAACCAGCTGACTGCCAATCAAAGAACTTGATGACCATGAAACTAAGAATTTCAGCTGCAAGGGAATGTAGCTGTAGGGAGGAATTCATACTAAGGCATCAAATGAAAAGTCACTATTCAACACAAAAAAGGTGAACATGTTCAACCATACAGTTTAAAATGCAAAACAAGTAGAAACCAAAATTTTTAATTACTTTACAATTCAGCTTGTCAAAAATAACTAACTGGAATATGACAATGAAACTATTAAACTGGGCCTCAACAATCCAAAGAGGAAAGGTCTAGCTAAAGTAGGATCATGCAGGCCCAAGAAAGGTGCAATAGCACATATGAATATTAGCAGAACCACTCCAAAGGAAGAGGTGGGGCAAACCAGAAGCCAAGGTGTCGGTGTTAGAAGCATAAACACAAAAACACACCAAATTAGAGAATTTGTTGCTAATTTGTTGAAGAGTTCGGAAAACTCCTTGGATGGGAAAAGGCCTGCCACCCTTGATGTAGAGGGCAAATTGGCCAAACAGGAAGCCAAGCTCATTTTCCAAATGAGCATTCAACAACTACAAAGCAGCAAGGCACACTGGATGGCAAGTCCATGGCACTTATAGTCCTGAAAATTATGTTTTTCATGTGATTTCTTTTGCTTTTCTTTTGGAATATGGCTCATGGAAACCAGCCCTCATATATTTGCATACATGAGGGTGTCCAATAAGTTTCCAGAAACATCTAATAAAAACTAACCATTGTTATCATCGCTACAAAAACTGGTAAACAGAAACATCACATGTCCCTTAGCCCATCACTGTTCTATGCACTTCTGCAACCAAGAGGGCAATAATTGTATGCTCCTTTTGTAGATGCCTGTTTCTTGTTGTTGTAGGCATGACCTTACAACATTTTGAAGATCTTCACCACTGATAAGCATATTCCATGAAACTGTCCTTCAGTTGGCCAAACTTATGAAAATCAGAGTGGGCTATGTCTGTGCTATATGATGGGAGGCTGGCAGCAGTCTTATGAAAATTGGAAATAACTTTCATTGTTTTCAATGCCAGCTACAGTAAGATACAGGCTTCTACAGAATGGGTATACAATTGTCTTCCAGATGGCAGAAGTGCATACATTAGAACAGTGATTATTATTATTCTAAGGGCTAAGGAAGGTGTGGATGTTTCTGTGAACTGGTTTTTGCAGTGATGAAAACAATGGCTGAGTTTTTATTAGATGTTTCTGGAAATCTTTTGGACACCCCTTGTACTTTAGCCTGATACAGTGTTAGCCAGTAAAAAGTTGGTTTTTTTTTTAACTCACCCTTTTGACTTACATGAGTGTGAAGAACTCAGAGAGTGAAGAACAGCAGTAGGTGATTTACTGGTGAAAAAATTAAAGTGCTGCTCCAAAATGCAACTAATAAGTGAAGTAAACAAAAGTGAACATTTGTGGAATTCTTCCTGGAAAGCAAATTAGTAGTAATAACACATATATATTTCTGTTGACACTTAAATGTTTGAACCCCACCAAGGAGGACAATGTCATTGACTGTTGTCAAGTTTAAAACAATGGGTACTCATAATACTTTGAACAAGGGTTCATCTAAATTGCCCAGCCAGAACAGCAAAAACAACACCCAATATTAAAGCTGATGGAAGCATATGATTTAGTCTCCAGGAAAAACTCTATTTTGCGCCTTTGTTAGTCTGTTCCATTTTTAAAGCTGCACTACCATTTTAAACTGCACTATCAAAATTTCACCAATAAATCTCCCATGGCTGGTTCTTCACTCTCTGAAGGTAAAACTCAAGTCAAAGGGTATAAAAAATGTGAACTTGAAATTTAAAAAAGGTACTTTCTATAGGCTGTCTATAATGAAACAACCTCAATGTGAGAGATTATAGATGATCTGTTCCACAAAAAATAACCTTTTTCCTATGTAGAACAGAGCAGAATATATCATCCTTTCTGAGAGAATGAATGAAGAACTTAATGTTTTCCCCTTTTCTGACCAACAATGGAGCATGGGGGAGAACATTCTCCTTTTTAAGGGGAAAGCATATTTGTTTACACGAAAGGTCAGTTACAAATCTCTCACTCCAAGGTTACTTCATCATATATCAGACTGAATAACTGCAAGTCATAAGGTATGTGCTACATCTCCACAAGCAATATTCAAGTAGAAAAGCACAAAAAAATAGCTGAAAAACATAAAGTTCCATGACTTTAATGAAGGTTACTTAAGGAATTGGAGAAGGAACGAATTTTGAGCATCAAGAGCCTGCTGGCAGGGACTCATGCTGGAAGCATCAACATAAACATACCCAAATTGGGTGAGAGTTTGATCTTTTTTGAACCCTTGGAGGGCAGCTGAGGCTCAAGTAATTTTTTCTGCCCCATAAGCGAAGACCAGTTGTCACGAATGAGTTTTGAGCAGCTCTGCTGCCCATCGAAGGAACCCTCAAGTTTGAATCGACGGCAGAAGAAGCGCATTTTCTCCACCGACACCTTGTCCAAGCTTTCACCCCCACTCTCGCTATCAGAAGAGGTGTGATTTCTCATTTGCCTACCATCTGGCTCAGCTGAAGCCACCTTCTCTGCCTCTGGAGCTGCAGGCTTCTTCTTGCTCTTGGAACTTTTTGGTGTGAATCTAGTGGCCAACAGAAACGAAAATGATTCGGACACCAATGAAAACATCATTAGTGCAATGAGTAGAAGGTTGCCTGCTACTTACACTTCAACAATATTCTGTGTTTCATCTTTGGAGGCTCTAGGCGAGGACTTCCCTCTGTGACTAGATTTTGGAGAAGAGACCAGAGCTGCCTTGGGAGTGGCAGAAAGGCCCTTCTTGCTGCCACAGCTGAGAACACACAGAGGGCACACCCAGGGAGAGTGGGAACCCCGTTCAAGCTTTGCCTGAGCACACTCCTCATGGAAGCCTCTATCACATGTGCTGCAGATCAGGAAAGATCCCTGCAATAAATTTAATCAACAAAGCATTAAGCATGTCAAATGACTGAAATGGCCTTGTCTCTTTACTTCTGGAGACTGAAGTGAGGGAGTTACCTCAACCATTTTCACCTTCAAATTTTCAAATAGCCAAAGGGAAGCCAATAGCCAGGTAGGTGTTCTTGGTTTGGGAGTGATCACCTTCATTAACATTTGCCTGTTTACATTCCAGTGGATCAGTAAACTTCCATCCTTGTGCATTGCTAAACTCTTGTGAGATGATTGATACTCCTTTTACTTCACTTCCTATTCACTTGGATAAAGAGTTAACCTTTCAGCTGAATGCTTTTGGGTAAATGGCTTCTTGAACCTAATTAACTATAATTAACACTTTCGCTGCCATACGACCCGCCGGCGGGTCGTACAGGTCCTTTCTACCAGATCATACGACCTGCCGACAGGTGGTTTGCATTGCCTTGCGGGATACGATCTATGGACCTCTTCCTTTCATCTTACGAATTTTATCGTCGCCTTCTGATGAGGTCAATTTTAAATAAAATTGGCGGTGTTTCATTTCTCATTTCTTTTTTACAATGTTTTCAATATAAGCATATCTCCATATAAGGGTAACGTGGAAATGACTTCTTCCTCATTTCTGCGTATAGGGCATATTACGGGAGTCTTTATATATAGTATGTATGTGGATATATCAAAAAGGTCCAGAACCGGTTTTCACATGCCGGTTTTCACATGAGCAAACTATGTGCAGACGCTCTGTTTCAGAATGATCCCTTTTGGAATGCATGGATGACAAGAATGCAACTTGAAAGTTTTCTATAGAATCCATACCTTGTAATTGATTAGTCTGAAAATTTAATGGAATGTTGGCAACAATGATTTCCTAGAGCTCTTGAAATTATATGAATTTATGGATACCGATTCATGAGTTATGGCATATTTTGCTAAGATGGCAAAGAAAGGGCATGCGACTCCCATTGCGAGGCACGAATCCAAATTGCATGAGGATCCCTGAAAATGCATGCAGATGCATGAACTTTTTATGGATGAGTACACAGTTTTGACAAAGTTCTATTAATTTTTTCGCAAGGATCATCCCAGAGGAACTGATCCATTAGGCAAAAATCAAATGCAGATTCGTATCTCCCCATTGGCAGTCACATGCCTGTTCACTCAGAAAATTTGACCAATAATCCTTACATTTTCACGTCAATTCGCTGAAGAATTTATCTGCATAAAAAATTGTTCAAGTTGCTTAATTTTTTCCAGTCAACCCTCTAGTTCAACCTGACTTGCAACACAAATTTCCTTTCGTTTGTAAAAAGCTTAGAACAGACTGTAACCCATTCTTGGCAAATTTGTCCAACGTGTTGGTCGCAAGTTGATTGGCAAGCGCCTATGTTGTTGAAGCAGCGGCCATTCATCGAAGGCACCTCTTTTTTGGAATCAGCCTGAAGTCGTAAGGTTCGAGGTCCAAGGAATACAAAGAATGTGGGAGCAATGGCACTCCAAGATTGGTTGGAAATTCAACGGTACGACATAGGTACCGTTTGATTGCCGACAGTCATTATGGACAAGCTCAGTTTCGTCATTACGGCTTGTCGATTGCCGCCCCATGCGTTCATCATCTCCAGTGGATTTCACCTTTCACGAATCGCTTGTGTCAAGCACACCAGAATTAGGAGGATTACTTTGGCCTCGGGGGAACGGCCTCCAAATAATGGCTTGGCAGTGAAAGTGTTAATATGGTTAGATCCCAACTTACAGGACACTATGGGGAATGACAATTTCCTCAGCTGAACATTTAGCATCACCTCCTTCTCTAAGTCTATTTTTAAGCAGGTGTCAAGAGTAGTGGTAATACAGTGAAGCAGTCAAAGAATTTTCAAAGAGATGCCAAAAATGCACTGATGTCATGGGACATACTTTGAAGTATTAAAAAAACGCAATACCACACTTTACTTTGAATTTAAGGGTGAATAATTTGATTGATTGATTGACTCATTTTTAATGCCACTCTTCCCAACTTAATGGGGCCATGTCTAAAGCAGGTCTAGAAACATCCTCCTGTGTTCCCAATTCAAGGCAATGGATTCAAGCTCTGCAAGTGGAATGATGAGTTATGACATTTCACAAGTAGGGAATACAATGTTTCCTAAAACCTCATTGCTTAGAAGATATAGGAAATCAAAACTTTGGGAAACCTTTCTGAATGACCCTGTAGATGTTAGGCATCCTTCTCTCACTCTCTCAATTAGTAATTGGCCATACCCCATCTGAGCAGAACTTGATCCCTATCCATTCATGTAGCTGATTGCCAGAATCCTATTATGAACTCCCTCTATCCACTCTGTAGCTTTAGCATTGTCACACCAAATATCCTCTCTAAAAATTATTTACCTATTTTAAATCCTGTTGATTGCCTTTACCTAAAGTGAGTGTGACATGGAGGAAACAATTTTCTGTTTCTAGATTTCTTCATGGCAAAACTCCCCCTCATATTGAAGGGAAAATGTGGGAATCTCAACACCTTTCCTAGCATGAAATTATGGCTTTTTTTTTAAGGTGACACAGAGATTGAACAGCCAAGCAGTGTGTGACCAAAGAGTAATATTGAGCCTTATGTTGAAAACAAGATATCTGCAATAAAGATACTTGCTTGTAATAATGCCATGAATCATCCAATTCAAAATAAACAAGAAAAGGCCTCAATCCCCCAATCTCATCAATCAGGAAAGGGGGCTTTGAGCTCCATCTTCACAAGATAGAAAAAAATATGATGAAGGTTCATTTAAAATAAATGGCAAGTTGCTTAAAAGATCAGGAATATCCTTCATAGTTGACTCCAGGCAAAATTGTCAACGGCAGGTTAGCCTGTCAATGAAGTCTGAAGAAGTTAAATATATTAATGTGAAAACAATTTTTCAAAGGCTTTCCCTTTCTTCAACCCAAACCTTAAATGGACTGTCATCAGGACAGGCCTAGGCCCACCTTTTATCATTCAAAAGAAACTCACTCTTCAAACTTACTAGGGCAATTAGGCCTAAAAGGATTCATCCCTGGTCTTCAAGATCTTGAGGGCGTGTAACATTAGGCCAAACACAGGCCTATTCACTCTCTCATGGCCCTTTTAAGAGAGTACATGTAACAATAGACTGATCAGAGGTCTGTTTTGGGTTTCATGAACCATTTTAGTGTGGATGAGGAATGCAGGCCTCAAGCAGTCTCAAAGAGTTCTGAAAAAGGCCTCTAGGAAGCAGGGAATACAACGTTGGTAGCATTCTGTTAATTAACGGATGTCTGAATGAGATATCTCCATGTCCCGCCAAATAGATCAGCCACTACAAGCCACCATTTCAATCTCAGCTCATCTAATGAACTCGACACTAAATTATCACATACATAAAAAACAGAAGATCCAGACATGGATACTAAGGTCGAAGAACTCATGAATCTGGACATAACTAAGGCACGATATCCGGCAACACTTGAGGATGGGATGGAGCCATCACACTAAGCCTAAATTAATGGAATCTACTTTAATTTTTTATGACAAAATGGTGCACTGGAAGCAACAAAAAGGACACTTTCGTCACTGACAAGTCAATATCTTTCATTTGGTTGGTCTCTCCTCTGAAAACATCCCAGGGGGGGGGAGGATAAAAAAAAATTCCAGAATGAAATTCACATCTCCAAAAAGCAAGTCAGTGATCTCCACAACCCCAGGGAGATAGAGCTTCAAATTTGCTGAAGCATTCTGTGTTGAGAGAGGAAGTAGTATGCCAAATTTCTGGGGAAAAGTGATACGTGTTACCACACCTATTGATTTTACTCAAGTTATAGACTAAGAGTATGGTATTTATCTGGAACATGGGAGTTTCAGCTTCAAAGGAGATTTTGATCAAACATGCATCACTGTAAAGTTTATGCTAGGGAATCTAAATAAATTATTGCACTTTTGCTCTGTCTAAGATAGGGTTTGTTTGAAAAAAAAAAAAGATGCTCTTCACTGATTCACACAATGGCATTTCCGTGGTCCTTACCTCCCCAATATTAGCATGATGAGCTGAAAGTAAATGTATCCCATGTGAACTGGTTAAGTGACCTTTGACCCATGAACTCCATTGACATAATCTCAGCAAAGTGAGGTATCATTTTACTGACTGTGGTATCACCAAGTTTTAAAATGCCCACTTGATATGGTCATATGACAATTTTTTCATATTCATGATCAATTTTATCTGTTGGGTAAAGACACTTCTAGGGATCCTATCCCTCAATCATTACAGGCAAATCTTAATAGGAACTTGTCTATTCTAGCCTCCCTCAAGCAAAAAAGGTTCAGCAGTTTCAGCCTGAAAGCAATTCTAAAATGATCTGATGGCAGCATTCATCACAAAGATTCATCGACAGAATGCTAGGCACTAACAACAAAATGTTTCAGACCCCTCTCAAAAAATATTAGTATGCCTTACATAATCTTTCATACCCTCCATACAATGAGAAAAAGGGAGCACAAAACATTATGCAATTCATATAAAAAATATTGAAATAAATTAAAGTATTTTGTGATTAGTGCACAGCAATTTGCAGCTGGTATGAATGTCAATGGAAAATACTATGGGAAACTCCCTTTATATTAGACAAAAATAAAGAGAAAAAACAGGAGGGATTTGACCTGATGAAACCTTTAAAACTCACTTCTTCAGGGCGCCTGCCACAAGAGGTGCAAGTTTTGCATTCCATGCATTGCCATTTCAGTGACTTGACTCGCTGTGTGAGCTCAACACTGAATTTAAGGCAAGATGGATGGGCAGAGCTTCGACATTCATCACAGGAAATAAGCTCCTCAGGATGACCACTTGGATTGCGAGCCTCTGTGCCCAGGCATTCTCCACAGACTGGCAGAGGAGCTATCTTCTGTGTTAAAGAAAAAAAAAAAGGGTATAATGAAGGTGGCAACAAAAGCCTCATTTCCAAACACTAATCATAATCTAGCATTCCTATCTAGTACATGTCTGAAAGACATATTTCATAGGGTATTTTTTCATAAATTTTTCCTGATATTCTGAAGAAAAATCATACAAAAGGGGATACTTTCCAGAGAGTACCATACTTTACAAATTCATGGTACTGCCAACATAATTGGCTAAATTTTTTCATCTGGGTCCAATGGACCCAGAGAAGTAGTTACAGGGTTAAAAATTGAACTCCTGAATTGTTCAAGGTCATCTTGTTATAGCTGTTCATCTGCATGGGTTAGAGGACTTGCAGAAGGAAATGAAGGTAGGAGAAGAACAAAGGGGGCTCATTTTTCAAATGAAGTCTTTATTTCTTGACATTCATATGCCATGATTAGCCTGTCATTCCTACATGCACCATGGTAACTGCCTTCAAAGGATGCCAGAGGATTTCTGCTGGAAAATCACCATAAATTCAATGGTGAATTTTTTTTGTGACAAAGAATACCAGAAACAATGTAAGCTTTACAGGTAACATGAGCCAGTACAGTGGATAGGCGGTCAAAGAAAGGCATGAATTCAAATTGGCTTAGAGGCAAAAGAGGGCTTTATTGTTTCTTTTTGGGGTATGCATCTACTAAACCTACACCTACAGCCTACACCTCTGTCCAGCACATATTTTCTTCATTTTTAAGCAGATTGGAAAAGAAAAGTCTTCAAATGAAAATAAGAAATTTCTGGAAACTAGCAACTTGACCAATTTCATTGGTTGAACAGAACAGTTATGGTAATAGCAATAAATCCTAACACTTAGGGTTGCCAAACCACATACAGGGTAAATAATGAATGAAGAGAAGTTTTTAATAAGTTTTTAATATGTGAAAAGAGAAAAAAAGCACACAAAAAATGTTTATTGCTCTGATATTTGTAAAAGTAGGTTCCCATTCAGCCAAACATTCAAGGGATGGTAAAGTGGAGTCAATAAAAGGCAAGTCCTTCCTGTTTTGATGGTCTGCATGCTTCAACATGAATGGTGACTATTCTGAATGCCTTCTGTCATGAGTCCAATCAGTTTAACAAGTAACTTGGTTGGAAAATGCATGTCAGGAAGTCAGCAAGAAATACAACGTTTAGTCGAAAATTAATATTCATGCTCCAGTTCCACAGAATTTAATTGCATCAATAGACCCTAAAAAGCTCTTGACTCTACTCATTTACATTTACTTATTACAACTCCAGCAAAATCCTAATAAAAATTGCTCAGTTTCATTGCATGAAAATGTTATAACAGTTTTGCCTCAGCACACCAAGATTTCAATTATAGTTCTTATCAGACCTGAGCATACCATGTTTAGGCAAACCAACTTACAGCATCATCTTAGCTGTCACACCCATTACACAATGTATTCCACAATGATGAATCCCCCTTCATGCAGAACAGCCATGGGAACATATCAGAAAGAGAAAAAAAATGTTGTTTGAAATTATACTATTTCCAGTTTCCTTCTGTTGCAAGCTAATTGTAAGTATTCAAATGGTGAAAGCTAGTTATTGTGGAGAGTTAATGAGAGTTGACAAGATCCAGGTATGAAATTCCAGAAATGTGTGATTCTGGTAAATTTCATCTCAAAATCTTGAACTTGGCAAAGACTGGGATGAATTGGGAAGTTTGTGTAAAAAAAAATTGAAAATAACAGCAAGAAGCAGGAAATAATGCTGTAGCAAACTGCACAATACTTTTCTGGTATATTCAGCATGCTGTTCTATGCAGGGAAAGACCACTATTGTGGAACACCCTATATAAAGACTTTAGTAGAAAGTAATGTACTGGATAAATCAGTATGGGTATTAACACTTTGGGACTTGGGCATTTGAACAACCTACTACAAACTTCCTTATTGACCAAAGCCACTTCTTCAAAAATTCATTTCAAAATGCAACTTAGTCAACAACAAAATTCTTTCTCATGTAAACAAGTATGCATGTATGAATGTATGTGCATATAGGCATGTGAATGTGTTTTTGTTGCTTGTCTGTATTCATGCATGTATGTACAAATTGACTCAAAGTATTAGTGCAAGGTGCCACAATGGTCCTTGGAATGGCACATGCCCCATCAAGGTCAATGTATTGAAAGTAATAATCAAGTGGAATCTACAAAGTGAGTTCAATGAATAAAGCCACTACATACATATGCAGCCAAGACTAGGGAAGATCTGTAATACAGGTTGATCAAAAAGTGATGCAAGTGAGTGTGAGAAGCCATGTCCTCCAGACACATTTTTGTAATAAAGTTCCATACAGCAGTAACATAAAAGGTGTACTGCAGATTTACTGACGAGTCTCTTCTAATGCTTTGGAGGAAATTGGAGGAGAAAAGTTTCAATAGGACAGTGCCACAGCCAATACTACTAGAGGCATTTAGAGATTTTCCTTGGTGAGCATATCATCAGTAAGTAGCAGACTTCTATGCAAATGCATTTTTTTTGTAGCCATGCAGGAACATGCAATCCAGATAGAATCATGTCTTATTTACAGAGGAAGATATTTCCACCATTTAAAAATGCATAAATATGCATATTTTGCTCACAAAGAAATACCCATAAAAATTGAGATTTTCCAGGAAAATCGCTGAAAATTTTCCACCAGTCACATGCTGTGAGCAATGGTATAGCAAGGGGAGGAAGGGGGGTTGGAGGCAAAGCCCCTGAACTTTGGCCCAAATGCATCTACCACCCAAGGAGAAGTTCGGGAAATTCTAACCATTTCCCTTAGCCCCACATTCTGGCTACACTTGCTGTGACAAAAACAGACCAACTATTCTCAACAGGCACCTGGTTTAATCTCGGAGCTTTTCCTTACTTCACTCTGTGGGAGAACGAATTCTTCTTTAAACTTTGAAAAGCATGCTTTTGCATATTTTCCCCTTTCATACATGTCAAGCACATATCTGGCATTTTCACATGAGTGTGAATAAGTATATTTAAGGACTCTTATTAATGCATAAAAATTACTTCTTAATCATCAGTCATGACCAGTGGTTTCCCTAGTCTTCAGACTTACACTTAATCCCCTTCTAAATTCTTTCTTTAAGGATACCCAGGAGACCTTCAAAAGTTGAAAGCCATACGGTGTGGGTGCCACTTCCCCTGAAATGCTGACCCTTATGTTCTCATTATTGCACAATCATGCAAAAGAGTGCTTAGAACATGTTTCCAACACCTTCAAGGTTATGGGAACGATGTTAGTGAACAGACACAATTTCATAAACTTTGTTTTTCAGCTCCCACTTGTCTCAAAGTTAAAACCCATTCCTGGAGCAGGATGGAAGCATTTTTAGGATTTTACATTTTTCAAAAAGTGGCATTATTATTGATGCATTTATCCCACGGTGACAAAAGTTTACAGATGCCCTATGCAAAAAAAAGTGCCCTGGGATGAGTCATTGCCACTAAATGTGCACTTCGTTCATCTGAAAGCGTTGACCAACACAGATGCTTATTCAGTGGGCAGAACAGGTAAGTCACTAGGAGCCAAAACTTGACTGTAGTTAATGCTGCATCACATCCCAATCAAATCATGTCAATGTGTGTCTGTATTGGCTGCCATGAAGCTGTCCACTGCAATACTGTTCGGATTTGGCACTCACTTCGGCCAAATAAAAAAAATACCTGGATGGCCAGCGTCTTCTGAGGATCAAATATAGTACAATGACAATGTGTTAAGATCTCAGAATACTACTTTGGGCTGAGGACAACAGTAAACTTGGGTCATAGAGAGATAAACGCATAAATGTAAACGGCACTCATGTTGACGAAGAAAATCAAAAACTTCTCAATGCTAGTGTTTTTGCACATGAGCCCTTCATTTCTCCTCTTACCTTGGATCATAAGCTTAGCATGGATGGAAAAGTGGGGGGGGGGGGGAAACGACGCGTGCCCCCCCCTGACGCTATGCCGCTGCCTTGGGGACCCAGGCATGGGAAGCGTCCCATTGCACAGACGTCCGAACTCAAAACGTTTCTAAGTGAGAAACAATAAACATTACTTTGCCTGGCGCTAAATTTGTGCTGCACATGCAGAAACTGAGTTTACAGGAACAAGCCTTATGCTTTCAGTTTCCGCTTCTCACTCCTAACCTATCAAAGCAGTCACATAATGTCGTCCGCAGTCAAGCAGACGACATGAACTCTCTTACCTTACAGATGATATTCACGATGATACAAATTAACCCCTGAAAGAAGCCTCGGGTTTCCTAAACTTTGGATTCTACTTTCTATTAGTTAGGCGAGTTCCCTATTGATCTATTATGATACAATTATCTAGGAAGCAAGGCACAACAAGCAATCCAATGCTGACATTCTTTCGCACTGAGTTACTAGACAGTCAAAAAGGAACTTCACCGACAACATTCGTGTCTCCTTCAAGGGCAAGGATGAGTTTTATAGCCAAAAACAGGTTTCAAAAATTAACTCTCCTCTTCTCGTCTTGGCATCCTCTGGGCGACAGCTATACCCAGCTTTCAATATCCCAATGGAAAGAGTCGTGCAGATTATTCCAGCAAAGCGACCAAGCCACTAATCCCCCTCCCCATATCTATTATTTGGGATGGGTGCGTTACTTTTGATAGTGGGAAATGGAGGGGGTGGGGGACGATCTTTTATTAATTCAGTGTCACATGAAGATAAACAAGCAGGCATTCATCCGTTGAAAGAAGGAGATGTAGGTCAAGCCTCGTTGCATTCCACAGGTTGGCCTTGGTTCCTTTCTCGGATATCTCATCGATGCATCTTATGAGAACCGGATGCGATCACACCCGATTGTGCCTCAAACGTATGTTACCATCACTGAGGCTACAAAAGGCTGTGATTGCACCAGAATCCTCTGTGATGATGGGTGTAGAAAGGATCAGAGGAAGGCACGGATAGAAGCATGAAGCGGATGGCGTGAGGTCGAGAGGCAGACTGAAACTTCCAACGGTTCTTTTCCAACGGTCCCTCCTCACAAGCGTCCAACGGAAGCAAGCAGAACGCACGGGCACGGGAAAGGCAAGGCTCCTTCCAAGCAAACCTCCCCTCATCTACCCTCTCCCCATACCCTCCTTTCGTCTCCGGGTTATGGACCGGCGCCAAAAAATAAAAAATAAAAGGGGGGGGAAGGGGCAGGATAGATGTGCGTGCCAGTGCAGTAGATAGGTGCGTGCACGGTTTGGAGGACCCGTGTGCGAGGCTAACTTGAACGGGCGGGAACAGAACATGGCGCCTTCGCCACAATGACAGCTGGCGCTTCTTGGAAACGGGGCCGCCGCCACGTGAAGCTCTTCTCTTCGTCAGAGCATTCCGAAGAAAATCAAATATTCTATATTCGTAGGCGTTCGTTGTCCTGGGTTTCCGAGTCTCCATACTTTTCTCAGTAAAGTCTCAACTCGACCAGACCTGTTTCAGTAAAATGACAGGTCGAAAAAGCGTCATAATGGGAGGAGGGGGAGGAAGAAAGGCAACCCCCCCGCCTCCGTCCTCTTTCCATTCATGGGAATCTGTCCCACCCATCGAACGTAACGGCGAGCTCAAGCCTGCGTTTCATGGGCTTTCCCCACTTCCCCCTTGCTCCAGTCTGACTCAGTCTAGAACGTCATGGCAAAATGACGGAATTCCTCATGATTCATCACTGCCGACTTTTAATGTGGAGGCAATCGATAAAGCGGAAAATCCGCCTGTTTACAAATCAACTTATTTGACCACTAATTGCCGGAGTAGAATTCGAGTGAGCGCCCTTGGTGATTCAGGAATGGAAATCTACGATTCAGGAATGGAAATCTACGATTCAGGAATGGAAATCTACGATTCAGGAATGGAAATCTATGAAGGCATGATAGCGTGCACATCATACATGTCAATGCAGACTATCCATCGGACGTGGAATAGTATGCGTTAAATTTTTCTCAAGATTTTTGGTGCTAACACCACTACACGAAATGGGTGTCGCGGGTCTTTCGCGGGGGAAAAGGGACCTGATTTTCAAGATGACGCTAAATTTTCTGAATTCCCCTTCCAGCAAACTCCCGCCTACCACTCATACGACGCTCAGAAAATCTCCATGGCATTTCGGAGCTGGAGTGCGCTAAAATGCTTTAATAAAACATCAGCTTCATGTCTACCTCGCACCATTACTTCTCAGAGCTCAGGCACCGGTCAGCCGCATATGCAGCCAGTACGCTAAACGTAGGCTACTACCTAGCATCGTAACTGCTGTTCGTACTGGATTGTTAACTATTCACGTCCATCATAGGGCAATTTCACAGTGCACAGGGCAATGGCACGCATGGCTGCCAAAACATTACAATAAGCCTACTCACGACGTAGAAAACATTCATGGAGCATGCAAATATCAATTACTCAAACACAAACATTACACTCCTACTAGTCTAATCATTTATACGCACACACATCAACAAAAAATTAATACTTAAGATGGCAATGACACAAGAATGAATCAAAAAGGAAACTCATATCCAAAAACTATGCAAATATGTGCACCAATTCACAGTCCTGATGGTTTCAACCATTTTGGCCCCAAGGAATAATGTGTAAGCAAATTCATTAGAAAGCAGAACTGTAATGCAGGAAATTTGCCTAGAGAAGTTTTAATAAGTTGCAAATGAGGTTTGGAGGTGGCTGCATTGAAATTGGTTCTGCACATGTGGAAGTGTTGCGAAAGAAGTGAAGTTAATTTTTTTATATTGAAACAAAAGAGTGCTCTGAAGGATGATGCATACTGTTTACATGAACTGTTTAAATGACTCTTTCGTTCTTGGAGAAATTAATTTGTGAAACTAGGGAGACTTTTGAATCACCCTGCAGAATTAACCCTGTCTCATTTAAGAAAAACCTCATTTTTTTCCCTCTCCTTCCCCAACCCTCACCACCCAGCCCAAGAAAGAAGGTTTTTCTTAACTGGACAGGGTTAAACTCACCACTCAAAAAATACTTGTTTAAATTTACAGCTCCCTACTTACCAATGTTGGCAAAGAACAATGGCAAACATAAACTTATACATAATCATGCATACAGGGTGACTTGTAAGTGTAGATACACACTTGAAACAAGCCTAAGATCATTTAAAATAATTCAGACTGTCCTTGAGTTACATAATTTCAAATATGTGTCAAGATATAATAATCATCCATGAAGGGGTAAGGAACAAAAAAAGGTGGTTAAGGTGCACAAAAAAGAATAATAATTTTAGGACCATGCAATATTGGTTTTAAACAAATTAACATCACCAACCATATTTTGCACAATATCACAATATCTCCAATCCCATAAGTCAGAATTGCAAGCACAATGGGATATGCTTCATGGTGGAAATCAGAATTTCACATTGCTATGTAATGCAGTTCACATGCAGCAAAAGGAACATGGGAGTTTTATTTCTTGTAACCAGGTGACCTGGAGAATTTCCTATTGAATGATCTCAGGGGGAATCAGAGGGTTGCCACTGAGCTTTGGAGATACATATCTCACTTCTCCCCTTTCAGTTATACTATATTGGGAAAAAATAGGGGTAGTGCCACATGGTGATATATGCCATCTCCTTCCAATGCTCCAAAGGTCTAATGACTGAAAAGCATCACTCTTGAATAGAACCTTCCACATTTACATTTTCATTCTTCAATAATGGCAAAGGGTGATGAAAGCTTCCATGTTAACCCATCACAGTACAAAGGCAGGTATACTCATCACCTGACAACGTGTTGGAACATATATTTGCTCTATATTTTATAAACACATTTCCCATTTGATTCTTGTAGTTGATTCTGGATAGTTTACTGATAGTTTATGAAGCAAATTCATTAATGTCAAAACTTTCTTTGCTGGCAAAAATGTACATTTTCACAGATTTAACCACAGGCACACCATCAAAATTCACACTGCAATGTGTAAAGGTTTCCTTCTGTAATCAGTCATAGCAAGTCACATATGCACACTAAAGTAACCAGGAAGGGGCAATATAAAGCTGAAATAATATTGCAATAGACATATTGCAGACAGGAACAATGTTAATAAATATCACAATAATCAGCATAGTCATAATTAAAAGCATTAAGAGTAATGATATATTGAAACTATAAAGCAGCAAATGCAAGCCAATTACACTTTAAAACATTCCAAATGTGTAACTATAAAATATATACATTATTTCTTCTGGCCATATTCCCAATAGCATCGGCGGAATACGCTCATAAGTTTTTAGTCACCTAGAATGAAGTAAAACTGATTGAAACAGAATTAGACCAGTCTGTAGACTACATACTTGTTCAATGTTACTAACACCTCACATAACTAAGAAAGGAATTCTACTCAAAATGCAAAAAAAATTGCATGCTTCATCTATACATTGCTAAAACTAAAAGAACTCAAAAGTTCTAGATAATTAAGTCCTTGAAAACACATTAAGTCAAAACATAACCCACAATAAATCTAACCTACAAGAGGGTTGACTTGCATTACCAGTGGCATAGTCCAGGGCAAGGAGGCACCAAGCCCCCCCCTCCCCAAAAAGAATATAATGATGCTGAATATTAGAGATTCAAGAATCTAAGTACAGCCATTCTAATCAAACTCATATGTACCTTTGGAATTGCACTGAAACAGTGTCACAGGGAAATTATGTAACTTCCCATCAAACTAGTTCTATTTCCCTGAATTTTATGAAACAAGTCCAAATCTATATATAAGACACTATGAATATATACTCCCTACCTCTGTTACCACAGAAACTGCAGGAAAGGGAATTGGGATTTCTCAGTGAAATCCAAAATCTTTGCTCTGTCAACTGCCAATGCCTATTTACAGCCCAGCTAATAAAAAAGCATACAATTCAATGGTGTTCCATATGGTATTAAACTTCTTTTTTTTTTAAATTATAACTATTGCCTACATATTTAAAATAAAGTCTATCAAACTATTTTCTTTACTCAATTTCCAATTGATGATGCTAAGGCATCATGTAGATTCATGTAGATTTGGCATGGAGGCCTGAACATTTTACTTATTTTTTAGCTTCATTAAAGAAAGTTGCTTACTTGCATAAGTTAATACTGAAAGTCACCCTCCACATTTCTAAACACATCAGGATCACTTCCTGAAGCTTCACTTGAGGATGGACCCCATTCCATATCAGACCATATATTGGAGATATCACTAATCATGAGTAAACAGCATCAGTGGCATAGCCAGGGGGAGGCGGGAGGGGGGGGGGGCTGAAGCCTCCCCCCAATTATGTTCGAAATGCATCTGCCCCCCCTCTCCCACCCCAAGGAGAAGTAAGCCCCCCAATGTTCCGCTTAGCCCCCATTTGCAAAAACCTGGCTACACCACTGAATAGAATGCTTGGAGTGCCACAAGAGGTT